TAAACTAAAGGTATTTACTTGGTACTTAAAAAGGGACCTCATATATCATATTTTACATAAGTTGGTAAGAATTGAAAATAAAACTTTCCTTATGAGAATTATTTTAAGTACAACATATCTATACTGGTACATGCAACACTTAACTATTTATAGATTTCCTTAAATGTTCCCAAACTGAAATAAATTAAAATATACTTTAAATAGAAGGGATTTTCTTTAAATATATGTGTACCAAACCCACTGTGACACCGCCTTACGAATTTCTGCCTGCCACATTTTCTGGGTTTGGGCAATCAAGGCAGCGGCAGCAACATTTGTGGCCGTGTATTGGCGGCGCAGAATTTATGCTAATATCCATTATGTCGAACATGTTATAGTTTCTTCTCTCGTTTCATATATATACATATATATATATTTACGATTCAGTGGTATTTTTTGGGCCAATGCGGGGCGTTAACTTGAAAATTGCCGGTTGCCATTCGCGCCGGCTGGCAGTAGCGCAAGTGTTGAGCTCTTAATAGAAAAAAATGGGCAACAAACTGTGGATCCCAACTCCAGTCCAACTCAGATCCACATCCAACTGCAGCTCCAGAGTAGTAACTCCATCTATCCGTAGGCGGCGGGGATCTGCATGCGATGCTGGTGTAAATCAGAAGGTGTTATCGTCTGCATAAATATTGATATTGTTGGTGCAAGTGATAGCCGGCGTTGTGCTCGAAGCAGTAATTGCACGGCTCCAGACGACCGAACAGAGTCTGGGAAAATTGGCATTGGCATTGGATCTGACTTGGTCTCGGCTTTTCCTCCTCGTCCTCGGAGTCCACTAATCCCGCCGCTTAGGTGCGCCTAATGGCTTCCCGTGTGCCTTGGCCCGAGTTTGCCTTGGGCCTTCGTCTCGGGGTGACGCCCACTTTGCTGGAATGAGTCTGTGATCGGGATTGGGTCTGGGTCTGGGTCTTGGACTGGTACTGGATCCCTTGCTCTGGGCTCTTCGGCTCGCCTTGCGCCATTCGACAATTTAGTGATTGCGATTAGGAGGTGTAAATGCGCTTCAGAAATTAATTTGTTCGCCACAAATTAAATTTTTATTATTAAAACGTCTTGCGTGTGGCTTAAAAGGCTAAAAATAGGCAATTTTTCATGTGCGGCTTTCCTTTGGTGATTGCTAAATTTTCGAATCTAAGTGGAGGCTAAGTGGGAAATATATTTGCCAGGGTTAACTGGGTTAAGGTGAATTATTATTAAAGATTATAATAAAGAAAAGAATTAGGGATAAATGGGTTGAAGTCAAGCCTATTTCAATTTCATTTACTTATCACAATCTTAGCTGCTTCACACAAAAGTAGACCAGTAGCAAATTCACCATTTTTCGAGCACTCCCTCACATCGAGGAGCCTCCAAACAGATCTCTACTGGTTTCATTACCCCATTCGGTATGGCCATCTCAGATCCATTAGCATAAACGTAGCATAAATGAAGACATTTTTCGGTCAGCAGCGGCGAAACAAGAACAGTATCATCGCCGTCATGATCATCGGCATGACCAATAATGGGAATCAGAGCACCAGAGGCTGGCTATAGGAAAAAAAATTTTCCCAGCTTTTTATTATCGCCGGACGATCTTGTCTCTGGCATTGTAATAGAGTCAGATGCAATTTTTTTTTGTTTGCATTCGGCTTGCATTGAATTAAATTAAAATTCAATGACAGTGGCAGTGGCTGTGGGGGTGCCAGGGAAGGCACTTTGGGAGGGAGGAGAGGCACCTACGTTTTGGTTTTGTCGTGCAAATCAAAATGAAATCACGGACAAAAGAACATGCCAGTCCGGATCCCCGAGTCCGAGAGTCAAAGATGAAGTCAAAGTCAAGTCGCTGGTGGAAGCGCATTTCGGGGCAGTTCGTGACTTAAATGAACCGCAGAAAATCATTTGGCAAAAAACAGCAATCTGCAGTGATCGCAAAAAAATACAGAAGCTGCAAAAGGCTTCAAAGAGCTGGGAAGATGATGGCGCCACGGCCATGGCTGAAACAAGATCAGTTATGGTAATGTTCATGGCACATTTTCAATTCGCTCCCATCGATGCGATGCGACGGACATGCCGGGGGCCACTTGTCATATGCCCGGATTTGCCGACATCGAATGACAAATCTTCTAGAGAGAGTCAACATTCAAAACCGATTCTAGTTGAATTGAATTCAAATTTAAAACCCAAAAGGTGCACAGTTGCACTACACATAACTATTTTACAGAACACACATTAAGAATTACTTTAACTTGATACTTCACCTGTAAATATTTATATCAATACAAAATAACCAAGTCTTAAATGCTTAAACTTTAAGGACTTCATTGCTAAGAAAATGTGGCTTGAATATGCAAGAAATTTATCAAATTTACGATAAAGAAAATCGTATTGCGTTATGTATCTTCTTCCTTTATATTGTTTTAAGGATTTTTCTTGAAGAGAATTCTGTATTGTGTTATTTATAATTTTCTTTAATAATACTATAAATTTTGTTCAGTGCTTAGTTCCTCACACATGGCGGCAAAAATTAAAAGCCTTTTTCTAAGGCTCACAAGGGAAAAAGTCGGCGAAAAATTATAAATTTAGGTGGAATGTCAACGTTATCGCCGCGCTCATATCTATCGAGGGGGCATCGAGGGGGCTCACATCCCGAACCAGGAGAACCAGAGATGGCATTTTGCATGGAGCTGACGATCAATGGCCAGCCATTTGGTAGGTGTTTCTTGGCTAGCCAACAAGGCACCCCAACCAAACCGAACCAAAGCAAGTCAAGACGGCGACCAACAATTGCCGTTTGTAGCTGTTGCAAGTAGCTAGTTGCAAGTTGCAAGTTGCTAGTTGCAAGTTGCTACTAGCTAGTTGGTATTGGCGTCGCCGCCGTTTGGGAGGCAAATTAAACTGTCGAAACTATTTCATGTCCAATGCGCGATTTGGCAAACAATTTGTGACATTTGAATGGCCGTTCAATGACAATTGTGGCTGCCTCTTAGCCAAGTCTTCCTTCGCTCTGTTATTGATTCCATTCCCCCAGCTTTTCTGCGTCGGCATCGCTCACAAAGATTCTGTTTGGTATTGGGTTGGGTCTCCCGATCTCTTCGTTTTTGGTGGGAAATGAAATCAGTGCCATAAAATTACGAGTATTTTTTCCCGGGCTATAATGTGTGAGAATGTCTTGGGATACCGTTGGCCACTGGACAGTGACTGAACAGTGGTCATTGTTAGATGATGGACGATAATAACTAAAGTTTTCTATAAAACAGAATCCTATTTTGTATGAGTAATTATATCTCCTAAACTGTGCCAATTAAATGGGGGTCTTGGTCTGCGGTCTGCCTGTGCGGCCGTCTTGTAAACAAGTCGCTAATTCCCTCGCTGTTCACGTTGGCTAAGTGTGCAGGCTAAAGTGCGTGCATTTTCACAATGTGCAACATGGGTTTTGCATTTGCCAGGAAACCAGCTCAGTGCCCCTGCGACCCCCGGCCCCATGGGTGAGCTCAGCCACCATTTAAATGAGCGCAGATTAAATGCGGGTCGGCAAAATGTTGCACAAACGAAATTAGCGCACACAAAAATTGCAGAAGGCACTAACAGGAGCGGGCCTTAAAAGGGGGGCTTATAGTTAAGGTAAAATATAAAATTCTTCAATATTTTATAAAGGCTTTATACTCTTAAACAATTCCAAAATATCCTTATTATGTCTAAGAAATTGAAGTATCATTTTAGTGAAATATATATAATATAAAATTAAGATATCAACTTCAAATATATATAAATAAAATTTCTTCTAATTTCTATTATATTCTAAATAAAACAAATTCTAATTAAAGTATTGCATCTCATTTAATTCCCCTTCAAAAAAAAACTCTCGTAAGCTCCTGCCTAAAAAGGAGTGCGAGTAAAGTGAGGGGGAATCCCCACATCGCTTCGTGTGCAGTGGCAAGCAAATTATGCTGGCTGGCGAATTGACACGCCACATAGAGCAAAAGCCAGGCCAAAAGCAGAGGCATCTCCGATGCGAACGTGGCGGCCAATAAAAACGCGCATTAGAAAGGTAGCAATTGCCTTCTGGTCAAGATTAAAAACCAGAACGTGAGACACTTTACACTCTGTGGGGTGTCGGGTTCGCTGGAACCAGGACCAGGCGAGGGGTTCTCCTCTTGGCATAGGGGAGCCCTCGTTTTGGCCAGCATAAAAATCTCAGCATTGAATGCGTTCAATCCGATGTAAGTGCCTATTGGCCAAGTGCTTACATTTCTGGTTATTAGCTGAAAAACAGTTGTAATGCAATGGCTACTTAAACGTTTCGGGGTGGCACTGATCATAAACTAGAAATTGCAAATGAAATTAATAAGTTTTTATGAAATTAAAAGAAAGAATTTTAATAAAGCTACAAAGTTTAAAATAAATTGACTGGTTTTTCTTGGTTGTAAAGCTTTAATTATACATTTTTAACCTTTTTGTGGCTTTATTTATTAACTTTATTTTTAGCTTTTCTAGACCATATTCGACCATCTTCTAATGCTGACCAAGACTCGTACCTATTCAGCTTTAATTTGGCCATAATCGCTTCCCATGCTGATCAAAAGCAATGGCCCAGACGATACTATATATGTGTATTATTCGCTCTTAAAGCTGGCTTTAAATGTCAATATGCTTAGGCCATTAATGAGAATTGTAGCAGTCGCATTTGTGCTCCATATTAAGGATTATTATTCATTTCCCCCGAGCAGGCCAAAAGCGGCAGACAATTGGCCCTGATTATGGCCAGCCGATAGGCTAAATTGTCAATCGTTGAAGTAACCGGTAACCGGTAACCAAATTAGTGTATCAATAGCTATAAATTATAAGAATATTCCCGTCGATCATTTGACTTTGCCTTCAAATTAAGTGTATTTGATAAAATTTTTATTCAGTTGGAAATTAAAGCATCTTTTTTGTGAAAGCTTTCAAGTCGTTTAAGTACGTATGTCTTTTAAATGCCAACTTTCCAATACTCGCCGCCTGATCTGGACCAGGCTCCACAACCCGTTCCGCGCTGGAAATTCATTCTACAAATCATTAAGATTGGATTGCTGCTGACGCTATGGAGCTTCTTCACAACAGTAATTATCATATCGCCCGTCCATGAAATTGACATCTCGGTGGTGACCATTTTGCCCAATGAGACCCTGGTCCGAGGTCTAGTTTCATTGAAGGGTATCGCCAGGATCACACTGCAAGGAACTATCACTGCGGTCCAGAAGAATTTACCGGGCAGAGAGGACATCGTACCCGCGGTTAGCATGCACCTGGAGTGGCTGGACTCCATCTCAAATCAAACCACCCAGCGGACGGACATGTGGCATGTGTACCTGAATAAGGATCTTAAAAAGTTTGTTAGGATCTCCCAGCTCTTTTACAAACCGGATATGAGGGGGAATGAAGTTCGAGGGCTATTGATGCTGGAGGGCAAGGGAGACATTCCGTTGGCCCTGATCATGGAAACCGATTCCAGTCCCATGTTAACAAAATTCGGGGTTATATATTGCGTCCTCTTGCTCCTGGGCCTGTACATCATAATCTTCTTCGAGCTGACGGATCCCACGCTTGGCGTCATCCTGATGGCCACCACTGCATTGGCCACTCTGACGGCACTGGGAGAGCGTCCCAGTCTGCCATTGATTACCTCTTGGGTGGACTTTCGAGTTATTATGTTCATGCTCAGCATGATGATCATTTCGGGGATAACGTCTGAGAGCGGCATCCTCGATTGGCTGGCCATCCAAATTTATCGCATCTCGAAGGGCCAAAAGTGGTTAATACTCATTTTCCTGGCCCTAGTCACGAGCCTCCTGTCCAGTTTGATTCCCAATGTGACGCTTGTGTTCCTGATGGGTCCCATTGCCGTTATGCTATGCGAGGCGGCTCTTGTGCAAACACAGTTCGTCCTTTATGTGGTGCTTGTCTACGCAAATATCGGCGGAGCTTTTACCCTTGTAAGCGACCCACTCAATATGATAATAGCCACCAACACGGACGTGGATTGGATCGACTTCACCGTACACATGTTCCCGGGCGTGGTGTGTGCGCTAATTGTGGGATTGCCCGTCATTTATCTAACGATGCGAAAGAAATTCAGCCAATTGGAAGACACCCAGATCTTGGTTACGGAGGAACGCAGGACGACAAGTAAAGACCTAATCCGCCAGGTTGCGCAACGGGAGGCTTTGTTAAGGATGCGCGAACCCTTGAGGTCATGCATCAGACCGTCGTCCAACTACTTCAAGACCCTGGCATATCTGGAGATCCACTATGGCATCAGTGACAAGAAGCTGCTGGCGAAGTGCATGATTGTGCTGATCTTAGTCGAGATGCTTTTTGTATTGCACACACACCCCTTAGTGCCGGGTGCCTCACTGCACTCAGTGGCCCTTATGGGAGCCCTTTTATTGGTCATCCTGACCAAGCTGGACGACATGGAGACGGTGCTCCGTTACCTAGATTGGTCGGTTGTGCTCTTCTTGAGCGCCCACTTTGTGTTTATAGCGGTGGTGCATGAGCTGGGCCTAGTACCCTGGCTGGGCGATTTGGTGGTCAAGGTGATTTCCAGCGTGGAGACGCGTCACCAGAAGACGGTGGCCATTCTGTTGATCATCTGGCTAACAGCCTTCCTGGCGGCCATAGTCAATAATATAGCGGTGACCGAAATGTTGCTGGGACTGATCCAAGAATTGACGATGCATCGGAAAATCAATGTACCGCTATCGCCACTCATATGGGCCTTGGCTTATGGCGCCTCCTTTGGCGCCAATGGAACTCTCTTGGGGTCCCATTCCAATTTGATAGGAGTGGTCGTTGCCAGACGATTTGGCTATCATATTACCTTCCTGCAGTTCTTCCGGTACGGCTTTCCCGTAATGCTTGCCACCCTAAGCGTTGCCTCTGCCTACTTGCTGATCGCACACACGTTGTAAGCTTATAGTGTTTAATTTAATAACGTTTATGTACATAGAAAGATTTGTATTTTTTAATATAATAAATGTTTTCCATTTATTAGTGGCAGTGGAGTGTACTTTATAAACACAATCAAAAAGTGTAAAACTTACCTTAACGAGACTTATACATGTCTCTGTAGACTACAAATATTAACTAAAGGTTTACGGTTTCATTTCCATTTAAATTCAAACCAGTTGCACTTGGATCACCTTGTAGCACCTGGTCAAACATATAATTCTTTACAAAAATAATTAAATATATATATTTATGAGATATGACCCATCGATCTACATCCGTAACATAAACTATTGGCTCTACTGAATGTCAAAGTGGAAGCCAGGCAAAGTCAGACCCGGAGATCTTCTCTGGCAACAAAGTTAAGGTACTTTTGTGCCTGTGTTGTTGCTTTGTTTTCGTCGGTCTCTTGGTTGGTCTGTTGGTTTTTAATTAACGCTTTCGCAACAAACTTGCCATTAGCCAGATTTTACAGCTTGCGATTCTGTGTTTCTTTTTTTCGCAACGCCCGCATTACAACTAACCAGCGGAAGGAGATGCAAACAGAGCGAGCCTCGTCTTTTGCCAGTCGACAGTCACATTTGTTGTCGGAATTTTTAGTAGTAGTAAAATTTTGTTAAATAGTCTGCGGCGGCAGAGGCTGGGATGACTTCAAAAAAAAAAGTAGACAAATACAAAAACCTAATTGGAATGCTTAAAAACGTCCAAACTCGACGATATCAAACACCTGTAAAGTTATAGTAATTATAAAACTAAAGATGGTATAAAGATCAATCGGAGGGTTCCAATTATATAATTGTTTGCATAATTTAAGGACTGAAACCTACTCTAATTTAAGGTTTATGTCTTTAGATATAATATATTATAATTCCCACTTTTTATTGAGATAAGCATTGAGAGATACCTTTAGCAATTTACCTTCTAACAAATCTTATAATTCTTAATAATCACACATTTTGTATAAAGTAAATAGTACATAGTTTGGTAGACTTCTTTCATCAAAATAAACAGGGTATTCAAACTCCACAGATTATGCTTAAAAGTGAAATCACTTTGGGTATCATTACCACTGGCTTCCTGACTCCCTCTTTTGGCTAACTAGCCAAGACACTACTCTCGCACTTTTTGCCACCGCCTTCTTGCTATTTGACTCAACTAAATTTCCACGGATTTGGGGTCGTTTCGGGTCCGGCAATGGCATCCAATCATCCCCGGCATGGCCTAACCAGCTGATGAAGTGCCATTTTAGCATACATTGTCGATGTGTGTGGAAAGCGGAATCTGATCTGTGGGTGAAGTGGCGTCAATATGCTTCTGCAGATGCTGCCGATGCTTCTGAACCCGGTGGGAGGAGTTGAGTTGTCCACGGATTCTGTGAGTGCCAACAGGTTTAGCATCCATCCATCCATCTAGGCACATAGCTGACCCTCTGAAAGTAGCAGTATCCGGTCATCTTGCCTGGCTTATTAGCCAGTTAGTGATTTATGCCTGGCTACCAAAGTAATTGCCAAACGTGGCTTGCATTTGGAGATACTTTCTTTAAGACCTCTAATGAGCGCCGTAAAGCGTAATCTCTATAGAAAGCACTTATTTCTTTTCATCAAGATCAAATCTCTTATTCAAGATTGTTCTGGGGCTTTAGGTATTTTTAGCACTTGGAGATTTTCTATTGGCTAAGCCAATCTGGGAGTCAACTTTTGGCACAAATGTTTGAAATCACAAAGCCAGCGTCGGCGGCTTCAGAGGTTGACAAAATCGTGTTCAATGGCCCAGAGTGGCACACGGTGGAGTTCCGCATTGAATTTGCGGCCTCTGGACACTCGAACTATGCTGCTTTGGTATGGGAATGGGGCTCCGGTATTGGGATTGAGACTGGGATTCGATTGGGAGACAAATGTGCAAAAACATTTTAATGAATTGAAACGGTGAAGATGGCTGAAAACAGGCAAACATATTTTCATTTTATTAAAAGCGATTAAAGCCAAGGAGAGAGTCTTGCTATGTAATTAAATAATTAAGAATTAATTGGCTTAATTGATTGATTGATTGATTAAATCAAGTTTAAGAGAAATATTTATTTCTACTCAAGAAGAGAATGATTCACCTAGAATTATAAGCAGGAAGATAATTTATAGAATTATTTAATAAGAAACGAAATGAAGAAACTATTCATATCATTAATCATTAAAACAGGAGAGGTAACTATTTCTACAGGTTTTAATAAATATAAATATAATTCCTTAATGTATGCCATATATTAATTAATTGTATAATTATAATAATTAATTGATTATTTCTTCTAGAACTTCTATCATTCAAAGTAATTGAATAATTGCTTATATAGAGTTAAGGCCCCCCTAAGAACCAGTAATATCCATTCCATAAAAGCCTTCAAGCAAGTTCCCAGAGAATTCCCTCCCATCAACTATTGGCCATTTGCTAATAAGCCAATCTGTAGAGCAATCAAATGTCAATACATGGGACATAAAGTTCACTGATCTGAAGATGGAACAATATAAAACCATTTATTACTCCTAATAGTCCGACTCGTACTAATCCGATGCGTTACCCTGTCCTCTCGCCATTTCACTGCCATCGACAAACGACGATTGGTTCGATAAAATATTTGGTGCCATTCGATGGCCGATGCCCGTGGACATGAACAAAGCCACGTCGTAAACTGACTTGACTTGGCAATCCTCAGCTACACACGTTGCGGTGCGTGGACTAGAGATGATAGCGTGAGGATCAACATGGGATTCAATAAATATAAAAGATATTTACAAAACCTATGTATAATACTAAAAAATAATAAATAAAATGTTAAATACATTTAAAAATGTTTCCTTCATATAACAAACTTGTTCTTTAGTTCTTTTCTTCCCAATGGCATTTCCTCACACTGTCATCTCCTTTATTCTGGTTAGAAAAACTCCCAGGAGGAAAGCATACAAAAAGCAGGAATGGATGGCTCAGCTCCTTTGCATAGCCAAAGTCTAACCATAGTGCGAAGAGCAATGCAAGGGATTCAGAAAATTCCCAGGCGTTCGATGCTGCTGCACAGCAAGATGGCCATCTAATAAATTCAGCTAATTAATGGCGAGTATGAGAGCATGAGATTGAGCCCCAACCGGTGCGGTGTGCGCTGTGGAGCAGTGCGAACCGCACATTAGCAAAAATCTACATGATATTGAGATGCCACAAGGTGCCCGAAGATGAGCCCCAGAATCTTGCAGCACACCTGAATGCCAGGCCTCATTATGGAGCCAACCAAGGTGCTTGGTTGCTTTCTGGCGGCGGCAACGGCCTTAGATACAGATTTCTTATCATTAATTAAAGCCAAGCATGTTGGCTACCGTGTCCGGAGATATAAGGCGCTCCCGGTTCCATGGATCCCAATGTGGCAGCATCTTTCAACTGACCGCTGGCCACGGCCTCGGCCTGGGGGCGGCGTCCATCGATCCATCGATCCCATGGCTGCGGCACACGCCTTATCGCCGGCACGCAATCGTTGTGGTTTTTGTGTGGCATGCCCCGGGCTCCATCGAGCTCCTCCTCCTCCTCCTTCTGATCTTCCTTCTGACCACTCGAAGGTGTTGGGGTTAACTAAAGAGGGTCTAAGATTGCACATCAGGAGCAACTTCATTTGCTTAAATTGAGCGCCGTTTAAGGTGTTCTCGATAAGAGGGAGATTTTTTAGATTTATTATGAGACTGAGACTGGTCAAGAGATTCTTTTTCTGCAAATGCATAAAACTTAAGGGAATATAATGAGTAAATTAGGGATAATATATAGTACGAAATGTATGATTAATGCTTTACGTATAACTTGCTTTTCACCTCAAAGTAAAAAGCTAATTGTAAAGTTTTCATTCTCCCAGCATATGCTTATGCTTTAATTAATTACATAAAAAATACATTGAAAATGATAATATTATTATATTATATTATATTATCTTTTAAGAAATGCATTTTAAATTCTGAAATCCTTTTAAATAGGAATACCAATTTTATTCTCAAAAGAAAACTACTTACAAACTCCACCCACTTAAATGAAAATGGAAAATATCCCCAGGCTGCTATTAAGTTTCGCCGAATTTCCCATAGCTTCCAATGTCTTCTCTTGGCCCGTCAAAGTGCGATTGCAGTGACACCAAAGATTTTCATTCCATTTCCCGCTCCACCGCTGCCGCCTTGCCAAAAATGATTCCCCCGGGCAAAACTCTCGGCCAGCTCTCCCCATCTCATCTCATCTCGCCTGGCGTTGTCAACAATGTAATTTATCAGGCAAGCGACATAATTACCTGCCACTTATGGCAATAAAAAAAAGAGAAACAAACCCCAACGCAGACGGAGCAAGACAGGAAAGAAAACTCGGCCCAAAGACGAACCAAAAACCAAAGCCCGGCCCCGAGCAGCTCGCTGCATTCAAATGCCGTCCGCAGCGGGCAACTGAAGCTGAAGGATTTATGTTCTTACAAAACGCTCCGAGGCGCTTAACAAGTGAGGCAGCCAACCGGCGAACCGAAGACCAGGCCAATAGATTGATCGTACCTTGTGCTGGGCAGAGGGAGGTGCACTGGAAGAAAATATAAGCTATTTGTCATCGACTAAATAAGAACAATGTATTTATAAAATTCATCAAGTTTGTCTAATATATAAAATAAAGTAAGAAACTTTTGAAGGGCTTTCCCCGATTATCTTCATAAACTCACATCTTCTAAATATATCAATAATACTTATTGTTAGTTATTTCTATTGAAACAATAGAATCAATATAAGCATGGATTTAAGTTTTTTGAAAGAGCAGAAATATTATTTATATACATACTGTGTATGTTATTATAAACTATTTACTTAAAACTCTATTAACAAAGGAACAAAACAAAATATAGACCTCTTAAAGGGCTTTCCCTAAATATGTTTATAAATTATCATGTAAAATATATATAAATAATATTGATTAACCAATTTTACTATTGAAACAAAGACTAAGGATGCATTTTAGGGTTGTTAAAGGGCAGACTTTTATTCAATATTTATTTATTTAAAATCAAGGTCCGCATTTTCCATCAACACTTTTAAGAAATAAAATCCCATTCCATTTTTCTCTGTGTATAGGAAGAGGCGTCAGGGCTGGGTGCACGGGGCGTATGGGTAATGAAAATTCCCGCCATTTGGTAGCCGCCGTTTAGCGCCTGCCGGCCTGCAACTTGCAACTGATTCCCACTGAACTGGCGGCGCGTCTGCTTTGATCTCGATCCTCTTTTTGCTGCCGCTGATCGTTGTTGGCTGCTTGGCTGCTCTACCTGGTAGCCGTGAAGCAGATTCGTGCCTGCCCCGAGAGCGTTGACAAGTCACATGAGCATTGTGATCCAGCCGAGAGGACTTAACATATTGGCCAACGCCGCCGCCACTGTTGCTGCGGCTTAACTCTCGTGGTGTCTGCACCCAGGCTGCACCTGCGGGGGGTGGTGCCTGATCCTCGTCTGCCTCCACTGGCGTAAATTGGTTGACAAATAGCGGTGGCTTTGGTGGGACAGAACGTGGTTAGAGTTTGATTTGATTGCACAGGATTGATGGTAAGTGAAATGGATTGATTGCTATCCTAATATGTTTATTTGAGGGTTTGTATTTTAAGTAAAATGTTAAGATATTAAAACGAAAATATGTTGGTAAGTTACTTGACTCGGCTGTTGATCCTGATTAAGAATATATATGATGAAGAAAATGAAAATGGAATGAAATGACTGCTTCACAGCTTTACAAGCTGCTGAGATAAATTATAATACCCTGTAAGAGTATATTATATATCTGATTATATTTGCTATTTTTCTTTTTATATTACAAGAAAAATGGATACATTTCTATATGTAAAATACCTTTAAAGAAATTCCACTTAATTCATAATAATGACTACATATTCAATAATGTCAGATGGCATCTGCAAGCTCCATCTTTGGGCCACATTACCATGTCGAATTCCATATGGATTCCAAACGAATCTAACTCATTCCTGGCCATATAAGTGGCTCCTCCCAGTTCCCGCTCCCACTTCCAATCCAATCCCGGAAAGCAATCATAACAGTACAGCAGCCGGGAAAACACGATGGAACAATAACAGGGAGTGAGACTGGAACGACTTCTGTTGACCCCGGCAAGAGGTGAACCCACCTGCTCTGGGGCCTTATCAATTGCCGTTAGAGGACGTCTTGGCCGCCTCACTTCCTAAAGCACCGAAATCGCTAGACAAATTCATATTTTATTGCCGCTCGGACCATGGCCCGGGGTCTAGAGGCATTAACAAACAATGGCCAACAAGCGGATCAATGGAGAAGCAAATATTTTCACTCCCATAATCCGCGAGAGCAACAGCTCCTGGTCTCCCCTTGGTCTTGTCTTGGCCATTGTTTTTGCCGTTGCTGCTGCTGTTCCTGCTTGCTGTTGTTGCCGCTTTGGCCAAATTGCATTTTGAACATAATTCTCATATGTCGCTCTGGCAGTTATAATCACGTTCACAGCTCGTTAGCCGAATGCGAATACAAATAAAATTACCAAAAAAAAAAAGAAACAAAAAATTGCCAGAAAACCCGAATCCAACTGCGAATCGGAGCCACAACCCACCTGTAGCCGGGTCTGCTCCTCCGCACTGCCTGTTTGGCCATAATTGTCGGGAACCAGCATATCGTACACGAGGATGGCTAACCCGCTGGCTAGCTGGCTATCACCATATTGACCATTAGGCGGGCCGAGAGTGCGTTTTGCATTTTGTGCATCTTCATCGATTTCACCATTTGGCGCGCGGTGCATAATTGGCCGGGCCAAGACCGTCATGGGGAACACGGAGAATATATAATTATTTTTACGTCTTTTCAATGTGAAAAAAAGTGAAAAAATCCCATTTATTACCAGGCTTTAAAATATATTTTCTACTTATCAAATAATTATACATATATTACAGAAAATATAAGTACATATTTAAATAACTTATTTTCAGTGCAATGGAAGCAAGTCGAAGTCACAGCAATGGCACGTTTTTCCTCGCTGATGATTACCGATATAGCAGGCAGTGAAAAATGCGTTGGATGCGTGGAAAAGTTTTCTGTTTTCTTCATACACCCAAAAAATCTGGCGGTGGTGGTGAAAATTCCCTCCATTCCGCTTAATTTCGTGCCAGACAAACTAAAGAAAATGGGCGGTGAACCAAGGCGTTAAAAATATTCGGGAAATTTGAAAAGGAATTCAACAGGAACGATCGTAATTAATTTTAGAGGCTTTAATAAGTTGGGGCATATTTTAAAGGAGGCTTGAAATCAAATATTATTTGAAGTCTATGCCAAATAATTTCTCGTTATAGTTGCTTAAAAAATTGTTATGGTTTCTTTAAACTACAGAAGTGTGAAATTTGACTATATTCTTTAAGATTTTAGGCGGTGCCAGTAAACAAAACTAATACTCCAAATTATTTGACACAACGTTATTTTAAAATAATAAATATGTTTGATCATTGTTTTCAACTTGATTTCAAGAAATTAAAATTTATTGGCATACTTTACTTTGTATATAATTTTTAAAGTTTGGCGCTCACTTACTGCAGTTTTGCTTCGATCTGGCAGCAACAACATTACCGTTAATGCTTGATGTGGCAACACCATTACTTTACAACTCGATTTACAAGACACAAATATGGTCTTAACATATAGATAGATATATTATATATTTTGAAAGAGGAAATATATAATTATATCTTTAAATTAGGTACTCATAGATTATAATTTGAATATTTAAATTCTTATATTTTACTTTTTATTTAATTTGTATTATGTTAAAATATATAATTTAATCATTGGTTAACTCCAAACTTGCATCCCGACACCCTGTGGTGTTAAATCAGCTGAGTAAAAAGCTAACTTTTTTCTAAGTCGAAGCAATAATAATATTATTATTTCAGGTACAACATTATTAAAAAAAGATAGATTTCTTATTTAACTAACTTGTTTTATCAAGCCAAGGCTCAAACCCCGATAAAAATGGCAGCATACTTGGCAGCTGGATTAACAGCAGCTAAAACTAACATTTTGTGAGAGCCAACAACATTATGAGAGAGCGTTTGAGGCGAGCTTTTTTGAGAGCCACGTCTATATAAGCCACCCGCTTGCCGTTATTTTTTGTAAACTTGCAACTCACCCGCGCCGCCTTTGGTTCCGTTGAGAAATAACCCCGGAAAAGTCCAACGCAAAACAACGGTATTCGACCAAATCGCCGGGATAAAATAACAAAAATTAATATTGTTTAGTGGCTGCTGGAAACAAATGGTTAATAATACATTTTTCGGTATTTACTGCCAACGATAAAAGTTCTCTTTGTTCACAAACGACTTTCCCACAAGCACAAAGCCGCCGCCGCAGTCGTCGCCGTCGTCTTAGTCGCCGCCGTGCAAACAATAATAATGAAAAGCGCCAGACAAAAACCGAAAAGCCAATTAGCTTTTTGGCCATTTGAATGCCGTTTGTTGAATTGAATTGAAAGAGATAAATTCGCTAAATGCTGGCACATCCGTATCCAGTCAAGTTAATTAAATAAAACATGTTTGTTGAACCAAACCGAGGAGGAGAAGCTGTCCAAAGCTAAAATCAAAATAAATTCAAAGCAAAAAAATCCTTAGTACACACAGTAGTGTGCGTTCGTGTGTGTGTGTACGTGCGTGTGTGTCTGCTTGCGTGTGTGTGTGCGCATGCGCCAATTGGAGTTTTAAGGCATTAATTGCTTTTTTTTGTGCAGCAATAAGATCGAAAGGTGGGTGATAACCAGTTTTTTCCTTATAAATTTTTGGATTTATATCTATATTTTTTATGCATTATTTATGGGGCTTCTATTGTGATTATTTCAGTTTTTTTTAGTATTTTTTGTCAACGAATTCAAAAGGCGCCCACTCGTAATGTATCCCCCCTGCTCAACCCCTTTCTTGGCCACCACCCGCACATTTACTACGCGCGCTCTTGGCATAAAAAGCTCTGTTTTGCTCTGCGACGGCGTAAGCTTTTTCTTTCATTCAAGTCGCCGCTTGCCGCTGTCGTCGTCGCTTTGCCGTTATGCTGCGTGAAAGTTAATTCCGTTTACTATCGGCATTCATCAACATCATCATCACCATTACTCCCACAACAACCCCCCTTGTCGTGCCCGCCCCCGCCTTAACCCTATTGCGACGCCACCTTTTTGCCGGCTTTTTGTGCCGAGCATTTAAGCAGTAATTGACATGCATTCGCCGATATGTGTTGACAGATAACCATACTCGTTCGCTTGGGCTGGCCTTTTGCCCTTTTCCTTTCGCTTTTCCGAAAAAACAGAGCAGCAGGGGGAGATGCAGAAGAAGGTGGAGGAGGAGAGTGGAATACATTTGAAGACGGGGGCGGATTATTATTAAGGTCGGAGGGGATTAGGGGAGACGCCGCGAAGCCCAATTTTCATCATCTTGAGTGTGGCTTAAAAGATTACCAGAGGCGAAGGAGTACTATAGATATACCAAAGCATTACGCGGGGTGGCAACGGAAACTGAAACCAAAACCGAAACAAGTTTTTGGATTTTGAAGTTTATTTGCATACCTTTATTCTAGCTAAAAATGAAATTAAATTAAGTTTTACTTTGCTTGTCTTGTCTGTACTTATTTGTCAGTTTTTTAACCACCATGTGAGAAACCTTAAAAGTCGCATAACCTCATTATGTAATAAGACACTCCGCAAGCACGTTTCCGATAAGAACTTGACATTCCCACGCATTTCCACAGACGTGTAATAAAGATAGTCAACAAATTATAAATTTATACACGACAAAATGCAATTAAATTAGGGGTTTTTTATATGCTTAAAGATATGAAATTAAAAATTGTTAGAGTCTTTGTCATTTATTTTTAATTGCCAGCTACTTAAGATAGATATTAATTTGGAGAACTCTAAAAGAATATTGCTCTCCTTTTTGTATTTAAAATAGATTCAAATTGTTTTAATGAAATCAAATTAACTCTAACTTTTAAACTTGTTTAACAACGTTTTTAGTACTTGAGCTTTGTAATTAATTAATTATTATATATATAATAAATAGAAGAATTTGATGATAAATATATGTATATCATCTACGATCTCGCTTTTTTTTCTAAATCGGTTGCAATAATAATTAATACAAAATACTTGTGGCTATCTCTATCTATCTTTTAATTTCACAGTCTCTATTATATCCTTCCATTTCGTTTGAACAATATCTTAAAGGGTTAGTTTAACTTTAAAATGCTTAAACCTCATTATCTCAATATTTTACCACTTACAAACTGTTCGAAATACTTAAAGCGTTGAAAGAGGATTATACCAATTTTCAAGTAAAACCCATGGCAATATTTTATTTTTCCCGAGATTATGTGTGTTTTTTGAAGGTTATCCTAGGGAAAATGCAACCTTATTTCGCGCTCCCTCCGAGATCACTTTCGTATTCAACGTATAAATTACGTTTCTGGAAAAGTGTAATCCGCTTTTTGGCTTAGCATTTTGCTGCCAGCTTTGCCGAGAGAAAGAAACCAAATTGCGCTAACTTAATCAGAGCGACGTGCAATTACTTGCATTAGAGCATTTCCACCTCTTCCTCCGCTGCATTTTCTCCACTCCACACCTCATCGTCAGGTTCCCCTAGGTTTTCCCCCCTAGGTTGCTTTCTTGGCCCCGTCTCTGGTTCCATTTGTGCCCGTTACCTTTTGTCATCCAACGCGCCTTTCAACAGCTCACCGAAGCGACCGAGAGGCACAGACGACGACGTCGGCGAGGAAATATCGCACTTAAATTGCACTTAATGAAGCTGCATCATCACATTTTGCATTTCATGCAACACTGGGGGAAAAAACCTTGAGCAAGTATTAGGGAATTTTAACCTACTCGAAATGAAAATGGAACTTGGATGGTTTAGAACCCCTTTGAAATTTTAAGAGGATGCTATCTATTGAAAAGCCTCGCTCTGATAAGGAAAGTGTACTTAGTTCCTCCTTAAAGAGAACAGAAAATCTTCTTAATTATAGCATACACATACTGTTTTCTCAGTGCACTTAAAGATGCTTGGGTCTGGATCACTGTCTGACTCTGTTGGACGGACGAATTCACTCCATTGCCATTTCTTTGCGTACGTGAGGAGTCTCCTGGTATCCTGGCTCGGGGAACAATGGCCGAGCCACTTGCATTCAACAGACAAATGAGTGGAAATTATGCCAAGACACTGGCAATTAATAAGTGGGGGAAAAAGCAAACGTAAGCCGACTCCCTCCTCCGTTTTCCCGATGCCGCCCATTTGACTTTTGTCTCTGGCCACCTGCTGTTATCCGCCTTCAGTGATTACAGACACTCCGCACACCTTTGCACACTCACACACTCACACATACATCACACACTCAAAGGGGAAGTACCACCCCTTTCGCCAGGGGAATCCCCTTCAAGCCGAACGTCTCATTTACATGCTTGCATTTGGGGCGTCGAGTGTTTGCCAGCGGCAATACATAATAATCCCAGCTCCGGTGTGCACTGCTCGAAATCAGTGCGTCCTATCGCCACTTATTAGCATGCCTTGGGGCTCTGAAAAATATATAATTGGGTTGCTCAGGTATCTTGATTAGATTTTAATGGGATTTTTGTATAGCGATAGCTGGGATTGATTCTATAATTGGTTTTTGTTAGCTTGATCGTTGGCTTTGAGAAACATTAGCATTTTTAATGTTATATGATATGATAGGTTTTAATTTACTATGTTTAAATCAGAAATTAAATATTTATAAATCAAATATAATTATTTTACCTCCCACAAAAGAAGGGCCAAGCTTTGTAAAAAGTCTTTGAGTAACGAAAGAAACTTTAATTAATTTAAGGCTTCTAGTGCACAATGACTTCATAAGCTGCTTACTATCAACCTTATTGAGTTAATTTTCTGGGAAGCCCTTTTTCCAAGTGCAAAATCAATCGTTTGACTAGGACCAACCACACTTGGCAATTGTTTTGGCCAGTTCGCCAACGGATGTCAAGTAATATACATAAGCAGGCACGCAAGAGGTTTTGGGATTGAAATTGGGCAAACTTCAGAACTGTGACCATAACACACACTCCATGCCACACCACACCACACACACACACTCAGACTGTGCCCACTCGGTCGAGTGCCAATACTCACGCAACCCGTACAGCAGGTAAAGCCAAATCCCCTTCGAACCCACACACAGCAATCAATATAAACGCATTTTCATAATTAATCAATGCTGAATAATTTGTCAGACAGAGCCAGGTTATAATGGGAAACTCGCAGAGGGGGGGGGGCATTGGGATTGGTGTGTTTTTCCGGCCTAGGGGGATGGTGTGTGTGTGTGTGTGTGGATGGTGTTTGGGTGGTGCTAATAAGCAAATCTCAGAGGTTTGTTTTGGCTTTTATCGGTCACACAGCGGCGGCTTTGTGGTAAATACACGAAATACTCGCCTCTATCTATCCAGATTCCAAATTCCAATCCCAAATCCGATCCTGATACCAATCCCAATCCCACACACATGAGTTGGCATGGAAGCGCGTCAGAGAATCAATCCAACTGTGAAAAACCGCTTTTACACACTCATGACAGAAATAAGCGATAGTGGTTTTGTATAAATAGAAGTGAGTCGATGGTAAAAAAAATAATAATACACATATGCAAACTTTAAACTTTAGATGAAAATAGAAATTCGTTTGAATAATAAAGTTTCTTAAAAAGGTCATTAAAAGGAAATGCCGCTCATTAGGACATTTACTACATTGACAGCTTCTAAAAAATGTAAAATAAATATTAAATCAGAGAGAAAATCGTGTAAACTAAATCAAAATTAAATACTGGCGACTAGTGTATGTAGGGCATTAATAATCTCATTAGTTTATTTGACTTTCAGTCGAGTTCTCGCATTACAAAAATAGCAAATATACAAAATAATGCCCAAAATGTGATGGCTTTACCGTCTCCCCAAACCAACATGGAATCCCGAATCTCTGGTCAGGACTCGCTTCCCTTTTAATACCAACCCACAATTCGAGTGGCCGCTGCTGTGTGTGTGCGGGCGGCATGGCATGCTCTGCGTATTATGTGTATTTAAAGATCATTAGTGCGCAATTTATATGTAGATATTCCGGGATATACGAACAAGTGTGTATCGATTACCACCAGTTGAGCGGGCGGGCTGGGGAAGAAAAACGAAGGGGGAGTTCTTAATGCCAGTTGGCCCAACGTGTGGCGCATTGTTAGGAATGATTAAGAGGCTTCGATGGCATCAGCGGCCAGGAGGTTGCCAAGGTTGAGAAGCTCGAGTGGGTTCGTTCCGTAGGTGGTTCAAAGGTGGGCGCCATTGTGGGCCATGATGGTGGTGGTGGTGGTGGTGTCAAGGCCAAGCGTCAGGACATGTGGCTCCCCCATGGGGTTTCTTCCACCTTAATCGAAGCTAAGCCGGATGTGGGGGCCAAATGAGAAAAAGAAGACTAAAATGGCGGAAAAATTGGAATTTTGCTTACCACGATGAATTGGCTTAAATCAAGCCTAGGAACCTTTAATAAAGGCAGTTCTCTTATGGATTTAACTTTTATTTTAAGAGCTTCTGGTGGAATTTTATATTAAGAACCGGTTATGCATACAAGGGTTGGTTTATGGAGATTTAAGTCAAAGTAGATTTATTCAAAATTATGAATTATTTTCATCCTAGTTTTAAAAATCCTCTTTCCATATGTTAAATTATAGTATACATCATTAAAGGATCCAATGTAAATAGAATCTGTTGCCCCAAACAAATCCTTTTAAAAGAAATACATTTTATTGACCACCCCAGTATTATTTAATTTTATTATTTGGCCCAATCTTTCAACATATTTTCCAAACATTGACAATTTCCCTGGGCCTTTTATAAAACATTTTCTCATCGATTTCCCTCTCGATTTCCCCAAGCGCACCAAAGTATGCTATGAAAAATGATTCGATTGGCGGTGGCACATTTTAAACGGAAAATTTTAACCTGTCCTCCTTGGCCCTCTCCTTTCACCGCCAGCCATCCATCGGCCATATATCGTTGTCAATTTCAGCCGATAACAATCAAGATTCCATTAAACATATAAGAGACTTGCGGCCCATCAACTGTCGCAGCATTTTTTGCATACATTTCCTTAAAATAAAAATACACACGATCCCCCTGAACCTGAGCTGGTCCAGATAAAGCGAATTAAATGCAGGTCCCGGGCGGAAAAGAGGTTTACGGATTAAATTAATGTGGGGAAACACAATGTGCGAGTGGGGCGCCAGTTGTTGCCACTCGCTCTAATGAAGCAACATTTGCGCCGCACACCCACACACAGATGCTTCTCTCCCGGCTCCTCACACAGATACACCCGCACACACGCACACACAGCCATCTGCATAGCGAGGCAAATAGCGAAAATTCCATGGAAGCTCTTGTGCGGCAGCAAAAAAGAAACCCAGAGCCAGCCATAAATATTTTTCGAAATAAATTCTCGTTTACAAATTATGATTTTATGACTTTTTGATGGCCCGCCACAAAACCCACACTTACGCAATTCCCACACATATACAAACACATGCACACACATACACACACTCACTCAGGACATACGCAGGGTAATATATTTCCGAGGAAGCGAGAGGCAGCGACTCGAAGGAAAAACGCTTTACGTATTTATAGCAATTTCGCATTGGGTTGCCGCCGCTTCAGCTACAGCTTTATATATCGATACAAAGGACCTTCCTCCATTTTTTGTTCTTCTTTTTTTTATTCTGCCCATCACACAGTTTGCATTAAAAAATTGGCACAAAAAACAAAGAGCGAAAAATGCAGACAAAAAAAGGGGCGAAAAACCTTAAAGCGGCGCCAAAAAAAGTTATTACACAAAAGCGCGAAAAAATTTTGTTCGAGTTGAATGCAACTTCCATGTGTATGAACAGTTGAGGGAATGATAAAAGCATTCAAAGAGCGTTGAGAAATTGTAAATAGTTCAATTTTTTATACGAAATATTTTTATTAATTGTTATTTTAATAATTTAGAAATTGAAATACTTTTTTAATACAGTATTATAATTTATCGTAAATAACATATTATATTAACATTTAAAAAGAACTTACCAGGATAAACTAATCCGTTACAAATTGAAAGGATTACAAAATAAGAATATATGATATAATAAAATTAAATGTATATATATTCTTTAAAGGTCTTTGAAATGGGTCCTTCTATTAAAATAATATTTAATAAGCTTAGTTCCCTAACGATTTCCATATATATTTTTATTATTTTGCCATTTTATATAATCATTTTGAATTCTATGCAATTCTTATATTCCAATTTATATTAGCAGACTAGAAAAATCGTACAAACTTTAATTCATATATCACAATAACGATTTCCAGTTCAGAACGACTATTGTTTCAACCGGAAGTGTGGTCTGTGTTGCTGCAGCAGCTGCTGCCACTTCCCAGCATTTTGTGTGGCCATTTTTTTTTGTGCGATTTTCGCGCTGCCTACTTTTGGGGCGCATAATTTATGACCGCCCGGCATTAAATTAGCCAAAGCGCAGCATGAAAAACGGCAGAAACGGCTGAAATGCTGGCGACAAGCGACGTCCGGCGCTTATTAGAAGATGACGTGGGAGGGGTAGGGGGAAGGGAGGGAGGGGGTGCAGGCAGGATGCGGACTCCGCAATTGCCAGGGTGTTTCAGAGGCGGGGAGTGGGCGTGACACACATCCGAACAAATAGTTGAAATCTCTTTGGGCCAAGACGGCGGGGCAGCTACTAATATTTCACACATATTTCATGGGAGTTTTTTTCTGTTGATTCGCGGTGGGTTCATCTTTTATTTTTATGCAACATTTTTCGCCATTAATCAAATATTTATTTGCTATTTACCTATGTACATATAGCTTGTACGCGAGGTATGCAAATAAGTTGAGCACAATGAAATACAATTGAACATTTTCGTAGCAATTTCATTTTGATTTAGCCTTGTTTCTGCAACTGCAATTCAAATGCACAATGAGGAAAATATTCTTTAATTTATGTACTTTCATAGAGGAACAACATAACTATGGGAATTATTTAGAGAATTTTATGGAATATTTTTAATATATTCTATTGTTATTGTTATAATTTCAAGTGGAATGCTTTTATATTATTTCATTTCAATAAAATATTGACTGTATTGAAATTTTTTGGATTGCTTTGTTAGGCAAAAGCTTTCGTTTGTTGAAATGATTTTTTAAATGGTTTAAACTGGTGAAATTGTTTAATATAAAATTATTTTCAATTATACTAATGCCTTCTATGTTGTAATTTGATTTCTAGAAGGACAATACATAGATTTGGTTATCTTTTTATTGCATTACCACTTAACCCCCCTGACATGCACTCACTTTCCTTATATAAAATCCATTACTTATATCCATTTCCTTAATGCATTTCTTAAACTTTCCGGGACTCTGAGGACAGCCCTCGTTATTTATCCTTGAATATATGTATGTGTGTGTTTGTGGGTGTGAGGGGGGTGTGTGTGGTGCCTGGTGTTTGTTTGGTTGTGTTTACTTACAATTATGAGCGTGTTGATGACAACATTGCCAGCGCCAGCTCTAGAGCCTTCGTCCTCGCCATCGCCATCGCCTTCGCCTTCATCCTTCATCCCTCGTCCTTCGTCCTTCGACTCAAGCAGTCACACACTTGGAAAAGTTTTATATACAATTTTGCCAAGTCTTCGGATGGGGCCTTGAGCTGCTGCGGCATTGCAATAATAATTACAAATGTTGCACAATAAATTGCAAAGTCAACAGACTTGCTGACGGCAGAGGCAACAGTGGCAACAGCAGCAACAGCAACAGCAACAGCAACAGCGGCACAAGGATCTCAAGGAGCAAGAGCAGCGGCAAAATTACTTCCTGCTGAATCGTAGCGGAAATGTACATACAAATGGCACTCACACAGACGCCAGCGCAATCACAATCCCAGAAACAGGATGTGTCTGACTGGAGCAGTCCTTTTCCGGTTGAGAGCGTGAGCACGAAATCGAATTCGATGCTCCTCCAGCCCGCTCCCTGTTCTCCCTCAAAACTGCCTAAACTCCCCGGTCTGTGGTCGTGTCACGGTGGCATATCTGGCAGGACTCCTGGGTCCTGGGAGAGTGGCAACTTGTCAAATAGAAAATCATAGAAAAAAGTCCCGCGGCGGCGACAAGATGCGTAATTGCAGAGCTCCGGGCGGGGAACTGTTGCACTGCTGTAGCTGCCAAGGATGTGCCGGGATGTGTGCTTTGTGTGTGTGAGTGTGGAAGGATGTGGCCGGATATGGAAGGATGTGTGGCCCAAATGCCACGGCTTTTTGCATTCCCACTCCCATTGCCACATGCATGGTGGCGGTGACTCCAACTCACCCAACTCACTCCCTGCTGTCTTGTCGGAGAATGCAATAAATCCTGGACTGGCAAAACAATGACAAATGTCCTGGCTTCCGCTTTGCATATGTCTGTATGTATGTATGTGACAGTGTTTGTCCTCCGCATGCCGGACGTTTAATTTGATATCCGCTTATTGCCAACAACAACTCTTGTCATCCGCATGTCTCAGTTAAATAGATATTCGATTGAGCCTCCAAGGCAAAATGTTTAAATTTCGATGCCATCTTAATGATTGCGGAAAGTACAACTAAATTGAATTTATTCATTTAAACGAAGCTATAAATAAATATCGCTGCGCTTTGCGTATCTTTTTCCAATTAGTTTTACACAACTTCACATCCGTTTAACTGTCAAGTTCTTAATTATTGCTGGCATACAAATAAATTTATAACCAATAAATAATGCTAAGCTTAGATACCATATTTTTACATGATATTAAAGAGGAGATTGCATTTAACTGCAGTTGGTTTTAAATATATATACATATGCATATCATTATCATTAATTTGTCATTTTAAAACTACATATTATTGTCATTAAGAATCCTTTTAAATATTAGTACAACCCATATATCTTTTATGCTTTTAGTACCCGCTGGCGGTTGACATGTAGAACCATATATCTTGGCATCCTGCAATCGAAGTGAGAGAGACAGGCATCATGGTGGAATCCTCGAGCCTGGGGCGGACACCGCCAGCGGCCCAGCAGCCCATTCCTCAGCAGCATTCGCCCTCGCCCTCGGGGATGCGATGCGGCAACTTGGAGACAAGGGTGCGAGGTGCCTGGTATCGTGTCCTGGTCACGCTAGAAACAGACTTTCTGGCCGTCAGCCTGGACGAGTCCTGCGAGGCGGCGCAGCAAACCAACGATGGACAATCTACGACGCTAAATGGAACCTTAGGGTGAATATAGACAAATATTTAAGTTTTAAATCTATAATTTATAAATAAAATTATCTCGCAGGAGCAATCACAGCGGCGGAGGTGGCGGTGGCACTGGTGGAGGCGGAGGCGGAGCTGGTGGTTCCAGCCAGAATGGCACCCTGCCCAGCTCCGCCTCCCTGCAGGGTATGAATGTTCAGGACACCGAACTGGATGGCACTGGGAGCAATGACAACAATGGGGACAACCGTGATCCCTGCCTGAATAACAACAACAATGCCGGCGACGGAGGCGGCATGGATATGTGCGACGTACCTGACCATGTGGCCAACCAGAAGCGGCACGTTCGCATTATCAAATCGGATAACAACGGCCTGGGCATCTCCATCAAGGGTGGTCGCGAGAATCGTATGCCCATCCTCATCTCGAAGATCTTCCGTGGCATGGCCGCCGACCAGGCCAAGGGCCTCTACGTGGGCGATGCCATACTCACGGTCAACGGAGAGGAGTTGCGTGACGCCACCCACGATGAGGCAGTTCGAGCTCTAAAGCGATCCGGTCGCGTTGTGGATCTGGAAGGTAAGTTCCAATGATACATTCGTTACTGGCCAAAGTGCCACCGGGATGTCAAATTGCTATTTGCGTAAAACATTTTGCGCACACAAAGTGGGGCTAGGTGGAGTGCTGTGGAACAAGTGGACGGAGGGCTTAAAAAACAGCGAGTCAAACTAACAAGTAAACTATGAGCCACATCGCGAAATAGTTGGGCACAGTGGAATGGATAGGAAAATTAGGGGAATGAAAATATATTTAAATTAGTGAGTAAAATATTAAACCTCTTAATATATAACATTTCTCAACGAAAACATTTCTTTTATTTAAATCGAATGAATAAGTTTAAGTCCAACTTCCACAAATAATAAATCACATACAAAAAGCTGAAATTTAAATCGAAAAGTTTTAATTGTAATCCCCAACTAAGAACGACGCAATATCCATCTCGGAATACAGATTCCCCCAAACGTTAGCAACCATAAAATACAAAAATGCTATCTGCCACTTGGTTTTTTGTGATAAATTGTGTCTTTGATTCCATGCTTCGTTCCTTCGCCCCCGCACCTATAACTGCATAGATAATCTTTTACAAACTTGTTCAACCGTGATTAATTGACTGACAGAGGGGATTCTTCTTCCTTTTTTTTTTTTGTCCCCTTGTTGTGGCATCCGTCCCATGGTAGAGATGTGGAGCTCAGGAGCTGTGGAGTATTGGAGTAGCGAGCTGGAAAGGCGGAACAGAGGGTTTTAGTGCAAATACATACGTGGGATTACTCAGCAAAACATGCGAGTTACTGCTACACTGATGTTGCCACTGTTGCAGCTGGGTTCCCATGTAAATCCCCACCAGCATCCAGCATCCAGCATCCACTACTACTGGCCAAAGCGCCACCTTCCTCCCCAACCCAACCCCAACATGTTGACTGTTAGCTGTTGACTGCCGTTAGTTGCGCTGGTTTGTTGGCTGGTTGGTTGGTTTGTTGGCTGGCTGGTTCGTTCGTTCGTTGCCTGGCTTGTTTGCCCCGGCTTGGCAATGAGTAATGAGAAAAGTTTTCTTTCCATTTGATCAAATGGCCCAAAAATACATAGTCGCCTGTTGCGGGTGGCACTGCCACTCCTGTCGAGTGGCAAAAAAGCGAAAATGTTTCAGGTTGGTATGATGGGATGATGTCAGGATGCTGAGGATGCTGGGGATGCTGGGGATGCTGGGGATGCTGGGGATGCTGCGAATCGGATGCTACGCACTGCATCCTCAACTGCCTGTCTGAGTGGCTGACAAGCAGAAGCGGAAATACATAAATAAGGCAAAAAGGTTTATAGGTGATGAAAGCGGTGAGATGCAAATAGAAAACGGAAAATAATTATCATCGTTTGCCAAACAATCTTAAGGGTTCCCTTTGGGAGAATGTCAATTAATGCTATGATGGATGATGAATGAATAATTAATTGATTCTTCGTTTAAAGAAGAGTTATCTAGTAGCTGAGTTGATGAAGGTTAAGGAAACGCTTCACTGATATTCCCCTTTTTAAGCATTTAAAAACCCCTTTGAATTTTCCACAGACCTGATCTAATAACAACCCACAGACAAGTACATAATCACACCAGGACACATCATCATCGTAACCATAATCAGGGACACACAGGCGAACAGAGAGAGAGAGAGAGAGAGAGGAGAGGACACAGGACAATGCCTAATCAAAGTGCTCGGGCAAAGTTCGAGCATCGTTTCCGGTTCATCTCCATTCAGAGTTCAGTTCGGTTCGGTTCAGTTCCATTGCTGTTTTGCTTTTGCTCTGCCATTGCCTCGCACAAAACACAATAAACAATAGTAAGCATCAATTAGGCGATGTATGGGTGTATCTCTGGGATGTCCTTGCACACACACACGCAGCAGGCACACAGAGAGTGGGAGCAGGACACACATGTGGGCTTGGTGTCTCTGTGTGTGTGTGTGCATCCTGTGGGCGTGACCCAATCACAAGCCAAACCATTTGGCATAAACAATGCAATGAACCGTGCACGACAATTTTGCTGAAACAACTTCCTTGGCGAGATGAAGGATATTGGAGTAAAGGGGGGAAATGGGGTGGGGATTTCCCCTCCCTCCCCCCCTCTGACACAGCCAATTCCATTTCCTTGACACACACATTTCCTGGGCACCAGCTGCTGCTACTGCTTCTTCAGCTAAACAAACAGTTCAATTATTGCCTTTATGTTAGGTAATATCTGAAGAGTCCAGCAGTGATCTCTCTCTCAGTTGGAGTTCAAAAATTGGCTAAGCTGTTACCATTTTGTCAACTTAAATAGGACAAGGGGAAGTAAACAATTTAACAATTTCAATTCCACAAAAGTTAAAGACTTAAGGCAGGATTTAAATTACATTGCATGTTTCTATTGTTTCAAATTTAGGACGTTGTTATTATAATTTCTTTGAGTTATTAAAGTATATTCAAACCTATAGAGATTCATAAAAAACCCAGAAACAGGAGAACTTTAAAATATAATAAAAGAAATCTGTTCCAAAATGTTGATTGACAGCGAAAACTTCAAATAAAAGACAGCATTATTTTCATGTCAAGTAGATACGTATATTTTGTTTCACATAATCCTGCATTTTCCAGTTTTTCAACTGTTTTTAGAAATGAATCCCCTAGATCCTTCTCAGGCGCTCGCTCCTCAGTCGTCGTCGACGTGGCTGCTCCACGGCCAAGACGAGGCGTCCAAGCTGCGTTCCTCGGGCTCCCAAAGGCAAAAGGATTAGGCGACCACTGGCCAGCTGGTTGGTCAGGGCCTCCTCTGCTGCTGCCTCCTCGACCAGTTCCACCTGCGACTCCTCCAGATCCAACTCGTTCTCTGTCTCACCCAACTCGGGCACTCCATAGGTAGCAGCAGGTGGTCCGTAGGTTCCCGCCGGGGTAACGGCCTTGACCTCCGCCTCGGGAATCAACTCCTGCTCGGCCTGCAGGGCAGGGACATCAGCAACAGGCTGCTGGCCGTCAGCAGCAGCAGCACCATCGGTGGCAAAGTCCTCGACAGCATCGAGCGTGGGTGGCTGAAAGTCACGGGCCGGCTCCTGGGCCACCACCACCACGGTGTCGGGCTCTAGGGGATCCTGCTCTCCGGGGGTGCCGTAAGTTTTGGCGGGCGTGCGGATGGCCACCTCCAAATCCGCTTCAGTCTCCGCTTCCGCTGCCACTTCCGTTTCCGGCTGCAGCTGCTGCTCCGTGGTGCTCAGGGGTTCGGTATTCTCCAGAGTCTCCACATCGCTGGGAATGCTCGGGGTGGTGGCCAGTGGTTCGGCCTCCAGCTTGGGCTGCACCTCGCCGGGCAGATTGAAGGGAATCCTGGGACGGAAGCCGGCGGCCGGATACGGGGTGGATGAGTACTCCACCTGGCGCTGGCTCTTCACCCGGTTTCGCTGAGGCATGGCCGAAATGGCGGATATGGCCAGCAGGCCGAGGGCCAGGACAAGGATGGTTGGTTGGTTCCGCTTCATTATATTCGAGTACCGGACGACGAGGAGTGCTAACGGTTTGTGCCCGGCTGCTGTGGGTGCTCCGCTATTTATGCCACGACAGCGGATTCCCTCGGATTCTCCGCCGATCAGAATTCAGTAACGGTCGCAAGGTTGTATTATGATAACTCGCCCCAATCCCAGATGCATGGTGCACAGTGCGAATCCGAATGTATGACTATTTTTTTGCGCATTTAAAAACGTATCGTGGCCCATCAACGCAGCCATCAAGCTCAATGTTAATGTCGCTTTAATATCAACAACCTGCCTGCCTGACTGTCCCTGTCTGCGCCCCACCTCCCAAAAACTTCAGTTCCATCTCTCGGGCTTAGCCCTCCAAGACTCACGTCATCGTTGTCAACGTGCCTCGCATGCCACGCAGCTCAGAGCTCGGAATGAGGAGCTGTGGAGCTACAGAGTCTCTGACTCGCATTTAATTTCGGCCCGGCACATGTCCATGTCCATGTGGGAGCTGCTTCTGCTGCTGCTGCTGCTGACGGAGCTTGATCCATTTCGCTGGCTTTTCTGGGCCAAGAAATATATTATTGGAAGCCAATTATGGTGGCTAAACTATTTTCGGGGGAATTTCTTGCCAGAGCCACGAATTTATTGTACACTGCCAGTGGTTTGTGGGAAATTATATTAAAGATTTTGAAGTAGAAATTTAAGGGCTACTATTGAATAAATAAATTGCTTAAATTGCTGACATTCTTTTATTGTATTTATAGCTTACTTTACTTTTAAATTTCTTAATAGTTTCTCAGACTTACAAATGATGTTTAAATTTTAGTAAATCCAATTCAAATTTCCATTTCCTACTTATCAAATCCACTTTACTACCAAATATCCTGCCATTAATCAACCACAATTGCCCATATTTTATAAAGGGCTTCTACCTCATTAGGAAAATTACGCATATTTATAAGAGCCGCATTCCTTTCTCTCTGGCAATTGCGAGTATTAACCAAGCCAAGCCAATCAATTAGCCAAGTTACTCCGCTGCGTAAGTGAGCCATCATCGTTCACTCGCTTTGTTACGTTGAGTTGAGTGAGCATTTGGATTTTCGGCTTACGGCTTACGGTTTTGCGGTCGTTTTCATAATTTCAACCGGTGTGTTCATTAAATTAAAGTGGCCCAGATCTATAAGCACGCAAAGTGGCGCAAATGTAATCACAATTTCAAAAGCCTTTGGCCATGAATGGGCGACGACATGCTTAACAGGGCCAGGACTCTCTCTCTCCCTCTCTCTCTCTCTCCGCCACCCCTTTTATGCCCAATGACTTCTTGGGCCAGGCTCTTGATTCGAACTTCAATTTACAAGTTGGCCAAGTTGTTTGCCAAGCACCGCTGGCCGCTGCCGTTGCCGTTGCTTCTGCTGTGCGCACAACTTTTGGCCCAAAGTATTTGCGCCCAGGCAGCCGTCTCATTGTAATTTAAATAAGCCAGGAGGCAGGGGACAGGGGGCAGGGGCAGAGAATCGGGAATGGGATTCCCGGCAACTGGATTCCAACTCCGACTGCCAAATGTCAGCGACAGATTCCGCAGATGGCGATGGAGGCGACGACAGTTGGCTTTGCTCGCCGCCTCCCAGAAGTCCATTAGCAATGGTTTTTACAGCTTGGCACACATTTGTGGACCCTCTGCACTCGGAGAAAATTATTGTATTTATTTATAATAGGGAAAAAATTACCAAAGAGTTGACATAATAAATAATTTGGCACTTAAGCAAAGACAAACTTTCTCGAGACAATAGACTATAGGTCTTTTTTGTTAGATTTTCTCAATCAAAAGGCATTTATTTTGTATTTTCCTTTTATTTTTAGTTAATAAACTTTATTATTTCCAGTGAATAGGACCACTAGCTCATTCCGCTTAGGTGGTGGAACTACCCCAGTGGCTCCTACTTAGCCAACCTGCCCACCATTTCCTCCCCAGGAGCGCGTGAGATTTTACTCGCAAAAGTTTTGTGCAAAGTTTGTTTTAACGCACGATTTGCCGAATTCCGAATGCCGCCTGCTGTTGATATCATATTCCAACCGACCAGCCACGCCCACTATACTCCGGCTTGCCCCTTTGATTTATGTTTTTTCGGTGGGGTTTGGGACGGGAGTGCGAGTAACATTGCCGGATTTGCAGGATTTCCTTTTGTCGGCAAAGGTGTAAAAAAGTTGTTTTTTTCCCTCTCTTTTTGCCCGACTGTGAATTAAGTGGGGTAATGTGGGCAGACCCAGAGCCAAATGAATGCGTTTTGAGTAATAATATTATCGTAAAGATCGCCTAGTTGGGAGGGGAGTTCAGAGTGAAATAAAATTAAATTACATTTTGTAAGGTGGCTAAAGAGCTTAGGTATAAGCGTTCATTTAACTGAGGGAAGAACTTTAAGCTTACAGTAAGTTAAGTTTAAGTTTGTTTATACTTATCTGTTAAATCTTTCAATAATTTGATTGGTTTTAGTTCTATCATAAAGTTATTTCTAGTCACAGAATCTTAATCTTTATATTAAATGCCTATCATCTTCTAAACTATTTAATTTTAATCAAGAAATACTTCAACAGAATAACCCCAATTTCAGTGAACATTTCAAGGAGAGCCTTAAGAAATGTTTAAAAAGCTTCTATTAAATTGCTTTATGCTCAATTTTTGTGAGCCATATTTATTTAGCCCACATGTTGTAAGCACTATGCAAATCCTTGAGTTTAATCTTCAGTGGAATGTTTGTAATACCATATTTATTTGAAAAATGCCAGAGCGCAAAATATTCATACTTAAGCAGCTAACAATTGTGGCCTGTGGTGCTTTTTAGCTAACTTTTCCATAACTTGTTTATTTTTCCAGGATTGTTTTTTAGCACACAAACATGAACAAACACACACACACACCGTGAACTGGGCAACTTTATTTACACTTAAATGCAAAAATTTGCACAACTTATTACAGTTGTTATTGTTGTTTTTGCTGTTGCATCTAAACTTTTGCCGCTGCTGCCAGTTGCGTTTTCTCTCGTTTTGTCGTTTTTGGTTTTTTTGTTGTTTGCTCAACAGTCCACTCCGAAATCTACCACCGCCCACTTTATGGCTATAACCCAAAAAAGGCTGCATTTTTGATACCCTAGAAGAGGGTGTATAAGCTTTTTTCTGGGATATAATAAGTGAAAGATTTTTAATATACATATTTTGAATAGCGTCCCTTAAGACACTTCCTATAAAGTGTTGAATGCAATGCATTAGTATTATTTCCTTAAACTAACAAAAATAAAACTTAGCACTTAACAATATATTTTACTTAAATTTATTGCTTTTAATATATTTTAATCCCATAACTTCCCAGGTATCTTTATCTTTGCAACTAAATATCCTTCTACACTCTCTCACAAGCTTCATCAGTTTTTGCGCCTGCCGCTATGCAACAATTTTTTTTTACTTTTCCTGCTTGTTTGTCGTCGTCGGTTGCATATTTGTGAATGCAAATGTTAGCTCAGCTCCAGGAGAAACGGCGGCTTAGGCAGCGCAGGAGTGGAGTTGGAGGGCCTTGGCGGCTTCCTGTGAACCCTTTAGTGTACGTGAATGCCAAGCAATTAGCAAGTGGGGGCGGGTACAGTGGCTGGGTGACATATATGTATATAACCCATACGCCGTGTGGCCGTTCGCTCTAATTAGTTGAGCTAAACACACGAATTGAGTTGGACAAACCGCCGCCAACCGTCGGCGGCCGATGGCATTAAGTGTGAAAATTGAATTTCCAAATCACTCGAATGGCAAACGATGCCGACAACAACAACAATGAAAAGAGGAACAACAACGACAACTACAACGACAACGGCAAACGGAAATTGTGCAAATGTTGTGGGCGGAATTCCGAGCAGGGCCAATGGCTTGGGTCTGGGTTCTGGCTTCTGGCTTCTGGGGTTCACCACTCAGATGTACGGACTCTAAGTGGGGAGACTTCGAGAGCCTTTTCCTCCTGCCCCCTGCCACAGGCACCTGGCATCGCCATCAGCATTTGCATAGAAGTTGCACAGTGGTGAGCCAGTTCAGCCATGCTAATGTCATTATAAATGAATCGCATTGCGAATTCAGTGAGATGTTTACAAATTGATGTTAAAAAAGAATGAATAAATAGTCAGGGGAAGATTAGATTAGCTTAAGAAATACATTAAGAGTGCTGCGACTCTTGATTTAAATTTTATTAAAAGCAGAACAAAAACAGGTTTTTAAATTGAGCCTTTAATAATTACATTGTAATGTAAAATATATAGTTAGGATTATTTAATATATGAAATGTAATTGATTTTGTATGTGTTAGGTCTTTCTATTCTCTCTTAATTAGTTTTCTAGTGGAGAACCTTGATTTATTTTATAAAATTTTTCTAAAAAGAGTTTCATACCTTATGGGTTTAACAATTTTAGCAAACAATAACTATTTAGAATTCATTATATTTACATGAAACACATACTTTCTATTTATCTAGATTTGTAAATTTATATTTATATATATTATTTATAGTCTTCTAAGTTTGGTTTTTAAAAATAAGAACTATAAATTGAACCCCCATTTTTGATAATTACTCCACTGTACCCAAGAGCTTGTCGCTAGTCTCGGGTTCTTTGGGTGTGCAAATCGAATAAAAATGGAGCGGAAACTCTAATGAATTTATGCCGCAGCCTATGCCAAGACTGCCACAACAAGAACTCCAGACAGCCACATCGGCCATGTCGATGGAGTCTCTTTTTTCCAACTCCATAGTCCGGACTCCGGACTGATTGAATACTGATGATACCCACACACACACACACACACACTCATATTCCGGACTGCATCCATATTCATGAAATGCTATACCGTTTGATTTGCATCGATGTTTATGTTTAAATCCCTTTTGGGTTTTTTTCTTTTCTTCCTCATTTTTTTCCGATGTGCAGTTAAATTCCTGCGAGAAGTGACGCCCTACTTTCGGAAGGCTAGCATCATCTCCGAGGTGGGTTGGGAGCTCCAGCGGGCTTTCCTCTGTCCGCTGGGACCGGGGGTTCCCACCTCGCCGCCTGCCCCAAAGACAACACCCCGGGCGGATACGCGATATATACCGCTGCAGTTAACGCATTTGGCCAGAAATCTCAAGTACATCGACCCGGGTAAGTTTTGCACCCCCCTTAGATAAGATGTTGTGAATATAAGATCGGGAAAATAATGTATTTTCCCTCCTGTTTTCCCCAACAGAGAACCGCTGCTTCGAGCTGCATTCGCCGGACGGCGTTCACTCGTGCATCCTGCGGGCATCGGACTCGGCGGAGGCCCTCGTCTGGTTCAATGCGCTCCACTCGGCCATGGGCAGCAGCACGCAGCGGGCTCTGGCCGAGGCCAATCGGGCTCTGACCAATCTCATTGGCGAACTGAAGCACATCGGCTGGCTGAGCAAGCGGATGAGCGGTGGCGGTGGCGGCGGAGGAGGTGGCAGCTCGGGGAGCGCCGGCGGTGGAGCGGCCAGTGGGGGCAGCGGCACCTCAAACAGCGGCGTGGCCGGCGAGCTGGTAAGTGTAAGTTGACCCCAAAATCCCAAGCAGCAATAGAAAAGCCATTAGGCAATTAGAAATTTATAGAAGCAAAAATATAATGCTTGGATTTTCCAATTTTCCCTCTATGCAGCCTAGCGGTCGTTCCAGCTCTGAGAGCTCCGATGAGAGCGACAAGTGGCTGCCCATCTTTGTGGCGGTGACGGAGCGCGAGTTTCGGATATACGAGAGTGCACCCTGGTCGGTGGAGGCCTGGAGTCGTCCGCTGGAGATCTATGCCCTGGCCACGACACGACTCGCCGGAGCCGGGAACAATTCCTCCCTAAATGTGAGTGTGGGAAACTACACCCGCACATATATAAATTCAAACTTGTTGTATCCTTTTGGCAGGGCCAGCAGACCACGGTGTTCTGCGTCCGCTGCGGCACCGCCCGCGGTGTGCTTGTCTATTGGCTGCGCTCGGAGACGCATCGGGACATGGCCGCCTGGGCACGGGCCTTGGTCCAGGGCTCCCATCAGGCGGTCAACTACCAGAGGGAGTTCTCCTTTCGCTGCCTGTTCCAGGGCCGGCAGTGTCAATTGGTTGTGCACATAAATCGTGGCTTCTTTCTCTACGATTGCGGAGGATTTGCCCCAACAACGCCAACGGCGGCGGTGGCCACCACCAAGACGCAACTCTGGCAGTTTGCATTTGACAAGCTAAAGGGGTCCGCGGATGACGGTACCAGGATGTTGTATCTGGACTTTGGCGAGGATGGAGAAATTGTGAGTCCTTAAAAGAATATATATTCTTCAATATATTATTATTCAATAATAATTTTCAATGCAGGAACTGGACATGGAGTGCTGTCCCAAGCCGGTGGTCTTTGTTGTGCACAATTGTCTATCGGCCAAGGTTCATAATATTGCCTAGGACGAGGTTCAATTCGAGGAGACTATCCGATAATTGTATATGTTTTGCCAGTAGTGGGATCTATCTTATTATTATCTTCTGTGTATTTTTGTTGACAATGAAAAAGTATTAGTTATTATTAACCCTGTTGTTTTTAGCTACTAAGCTTTTTACCAGTTCTACAATACATTTCGATATGTGCAATAATTACTTAATCTTGTCAATTAGCAAAGATTTAATCCGAAAAGTCTTAGCCAAGATGCAGATATTTTTATAATTTACTTTCCGGCTAAGCCTAAAAGCAGGCAACCTAACGTTTCGAATCATTTTATTTTATCTTTTAAGAACATAATACAGAAAATAGAAACATTTCTAGAGATACTTATTAGTCCTATCGAGATACGACTTAGTTAATTTAGTAAAGACGGTTAGATAGTGGTAGATGAGTGAGCATTTCGTGCTTCCCGATGGCTATGGAAATGAATTAGTTTGGTAGGTTTAGCTGGACGGATGGGAAGCATAAAAAACAAAGTAGATTTTTGAAAAAAAGTAAGAATAATGCAAAATAACGAAGCACAAACCAAAAAAAAAAAAAAAAAATCGGAAAAGAGAAAGAACTTTATTTATCTTGTAAGTAGACGTAAATACCCTTTTTTTACGTGTGTCTTTCGCACAGGATATATATCATATACCTTCTAATGTGAAATCGGCGGAAACGAACTCTAATTCTATGAACTCTACAACATTTGCATAAACGTTGAACAATAATTATCGTAATTGTACTTAACTAATTGTATCTTGTATCTTGTATCTAAACGAAGCACACATATCTCGGCTCCCACTCCTCAGTGGCACCGATATCGATCGTGGACTAGCCTCCCAAACTAAACTAAACTAAACTAAACTATATATAAAACCATAGAGATATCAAAAAACGAATACGAGAACATATATGTATATCCAGGCCAGTTCGCAATTTCCCCCCAACTCTTCATGTACAAGCCATCGATCATATGCAATTATTATACATTTATATCTACATATAACGTGACACATATTCATTTTATGAAATTAGAAATTTCGTTATAGAGAATAACAACAAAAAACAAATAAGAGAAACGAAATGAAACGAAGAAGAACAACATATAAGTAACAATTGAAAATGACAGAAATCAATAAGAAAATGACAAAAAATAAAGACGTACAATATTTTTAACATAAGTAGTGTTGAATCTTCGATAATAAACTTATATATAAATACAATACCATCAAAACAAGACAACTTTTTAGTTATTTATATCGGAAAATACTTGAATCAAAGGTAAGATAACAAAAACATAAGCTCTACTCTGCCAAGGAATATATCAAAATAATTCATTACCAAGAAAGTTTCCTCTCTGATTTAACCCTTAATCTCAAAATTAAACAACAGAAAAAATATGAGAATATTTACAGGAATCTCAGGAATGTTGTATTGACTTTGCCAGGCCCACAAGAGGCCACAGGAATTCAATTAAACCACGCACAAGTGCAATTTCCTCAAGTTGACCCTTCAACCGCCGATGTGCATTTTATGTGCCTGCAAAAATGTCTGTCTCTGGGTCAGCAGGCAGGCAATCAACGAACTTCTGCCTGGGTCACCATCAGCCTGTTGCTATTGTTGTTGCCCCCCAAGACACATATTTATTTCCTGCGAGTGTCAGTGTGTTTGTATGAATTTATTTTCAATTTTATCATTTCCCATTTAAGACGAAAACAAAGTCACCCGAAGAACGTGACCAGCATGTCCAACAGCTGGCACGGTCAAGCCACTAACTTTGCTCATCACAAAGTTAAACCGACAAAACTACACAAGATATACGCACAGTGGCATATGTATATACAGTTGTGAGCATAAATATAGGTAAGCTTAAAATTAAATTTATATCCTATTTTATTATAAAGCTGTGACTCAGCTGTGACGTTTTCTTTTTGTTTTGATTCTGTTTTTCTTTTAAATTTGATAATTTAAACTTGAAGAGACATTATATTATTGTATACATTAGAAAAGTCATAAATACTCCTAAATTAATGTAATATAAATAAGAATTCATAACAAAATAAACTTAATCGACACTGAGTTTCATATTTAGTTTGGAAAGATATAGTCCTTCAGTCTGTAATGAAAGTAATTCAATCTTAAGCCTCAAATATTTTACTTTGGTTAATTTTTCATGATTAAATATTTAAAACTTAATACAAAATATATAACCTGGAATCCTTTCTTGAAAATGTTTGATAGATATTCTTATGTGTATTCTATATATATATATATTATAATCTTTATTCTATTCTTCAGTGACATTTTTTCATATACCCTAATAAAAACCATTGTAATTTCTTTATTTATTTCTTTAAACTCTTATTTTTTGTGTAAAAACCAAAGGGTTACTATTATTTTAGACCAGATCGTACCCCAAGTATGTGTGGCGGAGGTGAAGACGAAAATGTAAAGTGACTTTTTGGGGTTGCCACTCTGGCCATCGTTGCGGTCAATGGGGGCTGGCCGTGTGGGGCTTAAGGTGTAACGACCCAGGCCTTTCTGGCCGCCTTCAATGCCGCAACACACACTCACAGCCACACTCAACACCCACATACACACACACACAACACCCTCCCACAGACACAGGCAGGCAAACACACTCAGAGAGACAGAGAGAGGGAGTAACATTGGGGGAATTACATTTCCGGTTTGGTCCGTTTGCGGAAGTTTCGCGTCAAATTAAATGCTCAGGGCTAAAATTATGACAGCTCCCGAATCGGAATGGGATAGGAATGGGAATGAGAACCGGGGGGAGAACCTACGTACCATCTACTCGTATAAATACGCCCCGTCTGGAATTGATTGCCATCAAATCGTCAGAAAATTGACCAGCGAACATGTTAAAGGGACTCGTCGTACTCGTGCTCTGCCTTTTTGCGGTCCAGGCCGCTGTTATCCGTAACGAGGGGAATCCGGTTCCAGATCCCCTGCTGCTGCCAGAAGCCACCACCGATGCGGTTATCCTGGATCAGCAGGAGGAGGGCGTCACCACCACCGCCACCACCACCGAGGAGTCGACCACTTTGGCCGGCCCCGCTCTGAGTCGCGACGAAGAGGCCAGCATACTGATTGATCCCGCACCGGGAACCTTGCAGGAGGATGAGCCATCCACTGTCCAGAAGTCCGGGAAACTGCTGCTGCTTAGCACATCGCCTAAGAGACACCATGAAATTGAGCGGGAGCTGGAGGAGCAGGACGAGGAGGAGGACCAAGCTGGGGCTGAGCCAACCACAACTGTGCAGCCCAAGGATAATGAGCAGGAGCAACAGAAGAGGAAGGAGGACAAAGAGGAGGAGGCAACCACAGAAAGCAGCACCACTCCGGCCTCAACCAGGCTGTTTGCCATCGATGCCACGCCAGCGGAAAAGGACTCTCCGTCACCCAATGTCGCCATATCCCTTTCCCAGGACAATGCCACCATTTCGATAGCTGAGGAGCCGCAGGTGCCCAGTGACAATAATGCCGCCGTGGAGCTGGCCCTTGTAGAGCCGGAGGCAGAGTACGTCCTGCTGGATGACGGCGAGGTCCATGATGAGCTGGACCTACAGCTGGGTAGCTTCACGCACATCGACAGCGATGTCCGCTTGCAGCCGGTGGTGCACTCCGTGGAAATCGTGCCCACCAGCCTCGATGATCCTTTGATTGTCAATTACGTGCACAATTTGCGATGACTCGGCCCGGCAAGGGAGACCTAGACGTGGGCGTTGTCGGGTGAATCAATTAACCCAACGTGATTGTCCTCCGCGGACTCTGTTAAAGTTTGTTTTCAACTCTTGTTAATGTCCTTTGTTGCTTCTTGACTTTTGAAAGGGCTTTTAAAGGAGACCTTTTTACGAATAAAATAAATGCTGAAATATATATTTTAAACGAAATAAATTACAAGGAATTTTATTTGAATATGTAATGCTAAATTTATTACATTTATATTATTTTAAATCATTTTCCCTACACTAAATCAAGCTTAGAAATTAGGAAAACAATGAAATGGCATTTACCTATCCAATAAACTCAGCAAAAGCTTCAATTGCTTACCTTATTATTTTGTAAAATTGGTTTAGACAAGAGCAAATCGGTTCATAAATAAGGCACTTTGTATGTGCGTTTATGGATGCTGTCTCTGCCCCTCTCTGAACCCACGAAATTCTCATATAAAATATTCAGAAATATTGCCATAAATGTCTGCCACGAGAACGAGCACTCCGCTCCCGCTCAACAAGTACTTCTCGTTGAAACGCAGGTTCAATGGTCTCCGGCGGATTCGCATCAACATCCATATCCACATCCGCCACTCCCTAACATCCTAACCTCGCCGCTGCCGACAATGAAAGCACTCGCACTCGCACTCACATACTCGTTATTCAATTTGAATCCGCCAGGATGAGAGGGTGACAGCAGAGGAGGCAGCAATGGAGACATGGCAGCTCTAGCTCCAAAGTCGCCTCACGCCTTTCCTCATGCCACGCACGTCCCACGGTTAAAACTTTGCACATCCGCACGTCAAATTTAATACGGATGCCGGGAAGTAGAACTCTCGAACTCAAGCTGGAACTCCACTCCCCGAAAGCTTCACAGTCGCAATTCGATAGAAAAGTGTTTGTTGTTCCGCCTTCTTTGAAAACAACAAGACCAACATTTAACAAAACATTCAATGACGTTAGACAAACAAAGTTTGAGACGTGCCAGAACTTCCGGTCGATGGAAATGATAAGACTGATGACGTTATAATTTGTATATCTATAAAAAACTTGTCAAGAATCTTTTCTTTTACAGGAGGAGGATTGTCCTTTATGCCAGTAAGGATGAGAGAGTTCAGGAAAGGTATATAAACTACAATTAATGTTTATATTTAAGGTAAATAACAATTTATTTTTTCACATAAAAAAAGCAACTATAAATACTGAACTGTTAACAGGACTTAAAATACCAGGATTCCCTTGGAAATCCTCACCAGCGCTGCTCCACATGTGTGGTGTACACGAATCCTCTTTGCCTTGATGCCTGCAACAGTGGCTGCGAACGCAGAGGAATGGCCACAGGAATGGAGGATGGAGCTCTGGCCACCACAACCGCAGGGCCCAGATTGGCGGTGAACACCACACTCTCCGCATCGGGTTCATCCGTGGATCCTGGCTGAGGCGTGGGCTTCAGGGGATCGGTGCTGACCCCGCACACGGGATGATCCGCATTGCTGCCAGTAGAGTTGTTTTTAAGGGAATCTGCGATCTGCTGCTGTTCCTCTGGATCCTGCTCAGTGGGCAGTCGGAAAGCTCGACTTGGACGATAGCCAGCTGGAGGATAGGGAGCCTTCTCGAAGGCACGTCCCGAACGTAACTCAAAAGCCGGTGGAGGAGTTGTGGTGGTGTCGAGGGAATCCCAGTTGGTGGTGGTGCTCAAGTCCGATTCCGTGGTGCTGGTGGAGAGATCATCTGCTGGCAGTTCCGTGGTGGTGGTTAGCTGATCGGATCCCAAGCCTGAACCCTCTACGGGAACTTCCTGCACTTCAACTTCAACCTCTCCCGGCAGCCAGAAGGAGCGACCTTGAGGGCGGTAACCAGCGGCAGGATAGGGAGCTGCCTTCACCTCTGGCGCTGCTTGATCCTCCTGCACACTGACCGCATAACGATTAATCCGGATCTGTCTTCCCTCGATCTGGTCGAGATTTAATGCCCAAAGGCAAAGGATAATTGGTGCGAGCCACTTCATTATGAACTCGATTCGATCTCGGTCCGTATTTAGATCCAACTGATTCCAGCTGCCAGTGGAGCCGGGTTTATATACAACGTTCTCGAAGAAACGAGTGTCGTCCCGGGGGAAATATAGAAATGAAGCTTCTATATTGACATCGATTAGGCGCACATTTAATGATTTATTTTGCATTGTTTTTCGTTTGCTTCTGGTCTCCGCCACGTCCGCCGGCGACTCATCCGCCACATCCCTCACATTACAGTGGCTTCCCAACCGCCCAAGTGTCCGATGTACGATGTCCGGTGTCCGGTGTCCACGTCCACGTCCGATTCGCCATGTTCTATGAAAATTAAATGCGTTTCCTACGTGAGCCGCAATCCAATATCCGACCAATTGAAAGCGAAATCGAAAACGAAGACAACAGGCGACGGCGACAAATGTTGTTGTCAATTGCATTATGCTGGGATTGTCAGCTTTGAGCGTTAGAATTTTTGATTAAACGCTTATAATCGATATTTATGCGATCAACGATTTGTCGTTGAGGTGAGCCCCAAGGTCGGAACAAGTGACTGGGCCTAAAACTCCCCTCAAACAATTGCCTCATGTCACGTCCTGTCCTCTCATTAAGTGCTGTGAACTGACGATGATATAATATCATTTATTATCAGATGACAGATGTTGGTTAGGGTAAGTACGGTGCTAACAAGATTTATATAGTAGCTTTAAGAGTTTTTGAGGTTGAGAACTTGAAACTTTTGATTGTAACAATCGTAATACTAAGCTTAAGTAAGATGTATTTCCAGCTCTCTTGGAACAACACTCATTAATGCATATTTAAAATGAGTTATATATATTTAATTATCTTTATCTAGGGTTTTTTATATATTAAACACAATAAGCTACTACCTTTGGTGTGTTTTTTATGTCCATGCTGTTTATAAACATTAAAAGTACTTTCTCATATCTTCCTTCTTAATTTAATATTAATAATATTCTGAACAATTAAACTCTTTTAAAGTGCAAAATAATATAACATTTACACATTCCTGAAACGCCACCGTCGGGAGTCAAATGGATTTCCCCCAATTCCACATGGATATCCTTAAACTTCACCCAGTATTTATGGGACAGCCATTAATTCCACCTCCTCCTGCCACTTTAAGAGCATTTTAATGTTGATCGATTGGCCCGAATCGAGGTGGAACACACGCTCCGATTTTGGACTGATTAATGGCGGAACTATAAATATTGGCTCGTCCAGACCTCGGACCTCTGCATCTGCTACTTCTTTCTGGTCACGTCGTGGCCGCATAAAGACGCCGCAGACACCGCCGATCATGGAGACTATGGCCTATGGATTATAGAATATAGTTGTGTGCCGACGTCAGAGCGTAGGTCCAAAAAAGGATGCCGATGCCTATGCTGCTGGGTCCATGCGCCGCACACTAAACAGGTGGCCCCGCCAAAGTCCTACCTATAAAAGCCCACCGGGAAGTCCATCGAATCATCAGTCGGTGGTTCAGTCTATCCCAAGTGAGACACATCCCATAATGGCCAAGTTCCAAGTAGTCCTTCTGGTGGCAGCTCTCAGCCTGTTGGCTGTTTCCGAAGCCCAGCAACAGCGTCAGCGGTACTCCCAGCGTTTGAGCCGCGGTCGCTCCAGGTATTTCGCCCGCCAAGAAGCTGCTCCTGCTCCCGCAGATGGTGGTGATGTGGATGCCGTGACCCCATATCCCTCGGCGGATGAACTGAAGCCAGAAGTTCCCTTCGATGAGGCAGCTAACGCGGCTGTTGAACCCACGCCGGATGCCGTCTATGGACCCCCAGATGCTGCGCCCAATGCCGTTCCCGATGAGGTATATGGACCACCGGATGTGACCGGAAACGATCTGCCACCCGCAGTTGATATTCCTGCAGAGCAGCAGGCCCGCCTGGTGGCCGCCAGGAGAGCGGCTAACTACAGGAGGAACGCCAAGCAAGTGGCCTATCGTCGTCCTGTCTCCGGAGCAGCTCGTCCCGCCAAGCTGACTGCTGTCCGCTCCAATGTGCGACGTTTCTAGATGGAATAAACCCTTTTGCATGCTCTGAGGTAAGTAAGTTTTAAACAAATAATTCATCTAGGTTTAAGTTAAATTAAACCCTAATACATATGGGTTTTTATTAAATTTAACTTGTAAATAATTAAATAATAAAAGAATTATTTTCTATTTTAGATGACTTCCTTCACCTTAGTGTATGAGCCAGCTGCCTGTACGGAATTCCCGAAACCCAGAACACAGAAACCAGAACCCCAAAACCCATGACGATCCCATTGAGCCATGATGACGACAAAGATACGCACACAAGCACACACCTCTCTCACATACATATGCGAAATACACCCGATTGTAAGCAGAAAATGCAAATAAATAAAATATGTTTGGGTAAACATAGCCAGAACATTCTCTTTTCTGCCAGACATTCCAATGATTCACTTCACTTTGCTGCTGTAGACTCGCCCAAAAGAGAATAACAACAAAATTGCTTTGCCAAAATGCGATCATTAAGGGTTAAGATATACTTATGCTTTGTGGTGGAATGGGTTAATTGGAGGAGTGGAGGCGGGACAACCGGTTTTGAGGAAGACGCACGCGTCACAATGCGATGACGAACCTCGCGTCGAGGCGAAAAATAATTGCAGCAGCTCTGGGATTGCCCCAACCGCAATGAAAAACAAGAAAGCACCAAATTTCCAAGAGATCAACGAATGTGAATTACCCTCGAATGCGTGAGAAATTATTGAATATGGTTTACATTATCTTCATATTTATTTGTATTTAATTAAATTTAATTTAATCCGGCCCATTTAGTTATGGAGGCTTGATGTTACAGCCCCTTTGCGGTTTATAGTTTAAAGTATTTCCCAAGATTGATTATTAATCATGTCAAATCAATCTTTATTGAATAATTTAATTTATTACTTTATTAGAATTTCTGAAACCTTAGAGGGCATTTTTTATATGCTTCATATGGCTTTCAATTTAAATTAAATATAAATAACTGTAGAACCTATAAATCTTTAAAAGAGTAACCTTTTTTTATTAAAGATATTTGGGTGACAGATCAAACACTTTGAATGTTAATTTATACTTAATCTAAATAAATTTGTGTTTTAAGCCTAATGGTGTTATCTGAAGTATTTAAGTTCAAGTTCAACTTCTTCTTAACTTTAACTTCAAGAAGTTTTTAAGCAGTTTAAAAATATATTCAATCTCTCCTTAAATCAAAATTATACTACCTTTAATAAGGGCAACCAAACCACTTAACAAATTCATTTGAATTATACCGAATAAGTAAATATTAACACTAATTAGTAAGCAATAAAGAAGCAATAGTGGAAAGTGACAAGGAAAATAGATGGACTTAAGCGACATTATTGGAAGAGCTAATACCCTTAAATAAGTGTTTAATTATCCCACAAAATAATACCAAAACAGTTGTCTTAAAGCGACATTCTTGTAAGAGCTAATACCTTTATATAAGTGTATAATTATCCCACAAAACAATAGCATTTCTGAGTGAGTAAGAACAAATAAGGAAATTGAAACAATACTTAGTACCATGACTCTACAGATTTCTGACAAAAACACAGAGAGAAGGTGAAAGGAGAGTGAGTGAGTGAGTCTATATTAAAGGGAGATCCCAATCGTTTGATAAGCCGCAGCTCAAGACTCACTTGGACTTGTTTTGGTAGCCGGAGTTACTCTCTAAACTGACTCAACTCAAAGTGAGGCTGCGAGAGCCGATGCTTATTTAAATAATCTTGCCAGCCGTCTCCGTTCAGTTGCCGGAGCAGACGAGACCAGTTAACATCGCCATTCAAGATCGCGAGGGAGATTTGTGTGTGCTCAAAAGTGAAATTCACATCGCTAAAATGCTGAAACTTATCTGTGCCGTGGCTATCATCGCGATGACTCTGTTGGAAAGTGTCCAGGCTCAACGACCCTCCTTTGCAGGAGTGAGACCTCCAGGCGGACTCAATCAGAAGGACAAGTATCATGCTACCCAGAATACAGCGGTGGAGAATATTACCGGAGTGGACATTGCCACCAGATTCGGAGAGCCTTCTAGTTCACAGCAGCCTGCCCTGGTCAATCTGCCCTTCGGAGCAGCTCAGAGGCCACCCATGGGAGTACCTCTGGTATTGCCCACCAGTGGCTTCGAATCAAACCCTAGCCAGGCAGCTCCCTCAGCCACACCCGATGTGGCCAACCGTTTTGGAGCACCAGAATCCAGTTCGATTGTGCCATCAGCGATACCGGCAACTAGTCCCACCTTTACTGCCAACATTCCCGCTGCCAGTTCCCCATCCGTTCCAGTCAGCACAACTGGGAGTCCCCAGATTCCCAGCAGACTGCCCGTCGATGCCCATGGAGATCAGGAATGGGTGAATCATCTAAGTTCCCTGCCCGTGGAGAACCAGCCCTTCTGGTTCGTCAACTACCAGGCCATCGAGGCTCATCGGAATAGCTCCAGACCCAATGTGGGTGCCTTGGAGACGCGGGGATCTTTCTTTCGCGGCTAAGAACTTGAATGGGAATTCTCGGAAATCCCCACGCTGAGGCGAATCTCTAGACCTATGTATGTCTCAACCCTAATGTACAGCTCTAATTTATTTAAATACTTTATTTTTGGAAACGAGCGGTGTGTTTTTCATGGGCTGAGATAACCTTTGTCTCGGGGGAATCCACTCAAAATTGATAAGCCTGAATAATCTGCTTATGTTTCTCTTGGTGCTTTAAGTGAGAACGTGATTAACGATTCCCAACAGAGACTTTGAGCGCAACCAATTAAGCTGTCCATTTCAGTTAGTTAATTGAGAGAGAATTTATTGAAAGCTTCGTGATTATTGTTATGAAAATAAGCTACATTCGCCATTTGAATTGCAAAGTGGTGGCCATAAATTTACCTAATTATATTCGTTTTTTTTTTTAAGGGTAATAAAGCTAGAAGGGGAATAGTTGGCACCTTTTAGCATACGAACTGGGCACTTATGGAGAACTGTCGGAGCATTCAACAGCTTAGCAAAACATTTAAAAGAGAGAGAGCCCTTTCAATAGCGGGATAGCCACTTGGGCTTAAAATAAAATAAAGCATTAAAAATGCATTGGAAAAGGGAAACAAAGTTGCACAAAAGACCATAAAATGCCGGGCAAAATGTGCACTAAGACGAGGCGAACAAGAAGCCCTTCAAATGCTGCCAGAGCCATTTACATGCGACAAGGGACAAGGATACTATGCATACGAGCGGCAAGGGATCCGGAGTAGGGAGTTGGCGGCTCCACAAAAGGGTCCTGTGCTAAGCTATTGTTAAAGGCCAATGATTCGCAATAAGTTGGTGGTGAATGGAAAACTCTTGGCCTCTTGGGAAAAGCGATGAAAACACCACAAGTTGTGGAACATTTTGGCAAATTGATTTCAATGCATTTTTAAGCGACAGAAATAACTATTATTCTACTAAATTTGTCATTTTACTTTTTATATACAAATATTTTGGTAATTAAGTGCTTTCAAGTTCAACCCTCTAATTATCAACAAAATTAAGATAAATACAAGTGTTTCCATCAACAAATATATATATATTTCATACAAGAAAAACAAGTTCTAGACGATCAGGGTAACAATTGGCATATTTTGGCTATAATTTACCAGCCCAACTGCTGGGGAGCTGCGGTGTAGGCAAGGTAATAGGGCTGCTGACCAGCACCCACGTAGTAGAACTGTGGAACTGCAGCTGGAACGGCAGCCACAGGAGAAACTGGTGCAACTGCAGCCACAGGAGCCACTGGAGCCACTGCCTCATCCACGGGCAGCTCCTCCAGGCGAGCGATGCGCTGACGCTGACGTTTGGGCTTGGCCAGCTGCAACTTGGCCAGTCTCTGGCGGCTGCGCAGGCGGGCAAGGGTGGAGCCGGGCGTGGTCACTTCCAGGGAGCTCTCCTCGGTGTCCACCTCCTCGGCCTCGGGACTGGGCTCAAAGTTGTCCACTGGTGGCTCCTGCTCCGCAGGCAATGCTGCCTGAACATCCACATCGGAGTCCTCAGGGGGTCCATACACGAGAGCGGCCTCCTCAGCCGCCGGCTTCAGTTCCGCCGCCGAGGGATAGGGCGTCGGTGCCACCTGCTGCCGGGCAAAGGTCACCGGACGCAGACGCAGGCGTCCAAGATGCACATTCCTTCGGAGTGGTGCCTCAGCCGTACAACTAACGGCCCAGATGGCCAGCAGGAGAGACAGAGATGCGAGGAGCTGATGACGTGCCATGATCGTGTGACTTGTAGTGCTGCTTTGTTGTCTGTCGTATATGGAGCTTTAACTTTTATACCCGCCGCCACTGGTGGTGGCCCTGCTGATCGGATAACGCGGTGGTCAGCGATTCTAGACCGAGACCCAGCGACGCCTTGCATTTTAAGCAGAGCGCCATCGCCAGCGATTTGAAAGCCAGCTATGCGTATGTCAAGCAGGCGCCGCACAGTGGAGTGGAATTTAAAGTGCTATCAAAACTCTATCATTTGTTCGTCATTCAAGTGCGTATTTGGGTGGACCTTAAATCTATTTGCTACCTATCAAGCCTAAGGTGGCAAATTAATTTGAATTTTGATGTTTAACTATATAGTGCAAAAATATTACTCATACGCAGTGGGGCCTCGGCTTATTGATTTCGTTCGCTTATTTATTTCTTTCGCAATAATCTTCAAATGTGTTAAAAACCTAAGAAATTGACAGCTGCTGGACTTCCTGCTCATGATATCTAAAACCCAATTCCTTGAGAAAGCTACAAGGGTATACATGGCGTATGAGTAATATTTTTACATTATTTTTTAAATTAACGTATTTGTACATATTTTTGCATTACTTAAATGGGATATGATAAGAGTTTAAAGATTTGCAATTAAAATATTGTTAGAATTTACCAAATTTCATCCCCATAAAACCTAATACTGGTCCACCCCATTGCTCATACGCCGTGGGGCCAAGTTAAGTGTCAAAGTTAAGTACCCGTGGCTTATAATTAACGACCAATGGTTATGGCTTAGACATGGGCCCTTGACTAAATATTGTCACGTCGCCGAAAAGGGTGTCCCTCGATGTGCCAAATATGAGTGGCCAAAAAATTCGGTGTATATAAGCCCGGTGGCTGCCAGTGACTGACAACATTCTAAGACAACTCAACATTAGCTCAACATGGCCTACAAGTTCACCTGCTCTGTGCTCCTGATCGCTGCCTTCGCCGGCGTTTCCCTTGCTGAACCAGCCCGATTCCGCAGTCGATCCTCCCGCTTCCAATTTGCCCGTCAGGAGCAAGCTCCTGTGGATGCAGCTGCTCCGGCCGATCCTGCCGTGGACATAGCTCCCACTCCGGCCTCGGCTCCATATCCCCCAGCAGGAGTTACACCTGAGGTGCCCTTCGACCTGCCCACTGAGACGGAGGCTCAGCCAGACCTGACCTACGGACCTCCAGCGGAGCCGGACAATACCTATGGACCACCTGCCGAGCCGGATAACACCTATGGCCCACCGGCTGATTCTGTTGCAGTGGACCAGGCTCCCGTTGAAGACAACCCCGCCGCGGAGCCCATTCCGGCCAGTCTGATCCAGCCACGTAATGGACGCCTGCGCAGTCGTCGCCCCGTTCCGGAGAAGCTCCGTTCTGCCCAGATTATTCGCTCCAGACCTGTGTTGGTTTATACCATTTAAGATGGGTTTATTTTAAGGCTATTAGGAGTTGCTTATGATGCGAATTGATTCGAGCCCTTAAGATACTTCAATTTTCTTGTTGCTAAATAAATAACATCTTTATTGTTGAATATTTTAAATCAAAGATTAAAATTATGTAGTTTTATTTTACTTAATATTTTAGAATTCCTTCACACAGCTATTCGATATCAAATATGTCATGATGAAGTTCATTGTCGTTCGAAATGTAAATAGGACTTAATTCTAATATTAACATACATATATCACTCGTTTAGAAGGATTTTTCTCAAAAAGAAAGCCCTTCTTATACCCATGAAGGCTATTTTAGTCAGAAGCTTGCAACGCACTGAAGGAGTTATTTCCGACTCTATAAAGTATATATACTTTTTATCTGCATAAAAAGCCGAGTCGATATAGCCATGCCGTAAATTTTGATGCTATGTGAATGAAACTTTGCAGTTAGGAATGTTAGGAACGGGACGGATCAAATAACTATATCATAATGTTGCAATAGAGACCGATGGAGAAATATATATTATATTTATTTTAAGCCACTTTAAATTATTTTATAATTTCAGTTTAAATTGTATTAAAATCGAACGAATTTATATATAGCTGCAATAGAAACGATCGTTAAATGTAGACAAAAATGCACAATTATGAGTGTATACTATAAATTTAATCGGTTAATATAATTTAACTAGGCATTACTTCGTAATTTTCTAATATAAATATATATAAATATGTATTATGTGTATATATTTATATGTATATTGAATTAATTATTACTGATCGAATTGCAATTTTGGCTCGCCTCAATAATAATAATTGTAATGGCAGTGAGTAGCTTCCTCCCTCTCCCTTTCTCTGTCTCTCTTTCTCTCTCTCTCCCTCTTGGTATGCTTTCACTCTATCTCTGCTGCCTATCTCTACAGATAGCTCTTACTCTCTCGCTCTAGCTTTCTCTGCTCTCTGCTCGGGGAGTATAAATAGAGGCGCTGCTTTCGCCCCGGCCTCAGTTTGTCCGTGGGGTACGTGGTGTTAACATCTGTAGTGAAAGTGATAGTGAGTGCCCTTCGACCTTCGAAGTATACCTGAACAATGATGTACATCCGCATAACTAGGAAGAGGCTCACTTCGATGATATGATCCAAGGCCTAATTGAAGTCACTAAGAATATAGCTCTACACTGGAAGGAATAAAGCAAAGATGGGAAAGGATAACCGGTAAGTCGTAACCATGATTATTATAATATGTATATTGATGCTATAGAGGGATCAGGCATAGGTCTACTTATCCATTTATTTTCCAACTAATTTTTTTATTGCCTTGAAGCCCATTGCTTAATTAATAGTGATTATAATATATAAATTATATATATATATATTATATTATAATATATAAATATAAATATAAATAATAGTGATTATAATATAACTTAACTATAAATTATTCACGAATATTGATTTCTTAGCCTTCCGATAGTTTTTAAACGGAACCTGACTTTGCTACTTTAATCAGCCCCATATATCATATATATTATTGATCAGCATGAACAGCGGAATCAATCTAGTTATGCCCGGGAAAAAATTAATTTTCGAAATTTTGTTCCAATTTCAAAATTTTATAAGGGGTTACATCGTTAAAATTGTCGAAATTTGACAAAATTTAAATGTTGTAAAAACTGAGTATGCAGTTTTGTTAACGCTATAAAAAAAATAGAACAGAAAAGCTATCCGAGTTAAAATTAATGAAGTTTTGGCCAACATATGCAATTTTAAAAACTTTGAATTACTGAAAAAAAGCTTTCCAAATTTAGATCAATTTTACATTCAGAACCATGACCAAATTGGCTACTGCAAGGGATCCTAGAAGTTAGCTTCCTTTTTTGTTTAGAATATAGTCTGACATAAAAAAAAAAGACAAAATAAAATTAAAGTTCACTTATTAACCTAGGAATTATTGAAAATATAATTCAAGCCATTGACATATTAATATTTCAGTGGACCTTGTGACAAACTACTTGTATGAATATGTATGCCCATGACTGGGGACTGGCACTGAGTCGTGCCCATTAGCCGTCATTCTCAGTGGACATTTGCTTCGTCTATTTCGCTTCTCATGAATTCAAAATTCATCAAACGACAAAATTATGAACAGCCAAGAACCCGAAATCAAAAGCCCAATAATACAAACAAAATCAAATGTGCAGAGCGACCCCAGAAACCGAAGCGTTAAGAGTGTTAATGAATGGATCCCATGGGGGTCTCCGAGAAAAGGGAAGGGGAAGCCTATGCGAACTGATAGCATTGGCATTATGATTTCGAAAAAGGGTCACGTATCGGGTATTAAGCTGAAGCCGCGCATCACCGCCGATCGGCGCAACATAATCAAAGTTTTACCGGGAACGGGAGCTTGAAAACTGAAAGTGACGAGCATAAATTATATCAGAACTCGATCCGGCAGCTGGGGACTATAAATAAGCCGGGTCGCATGGCGAAATCAGAACAGAAGCTCTTCAGCCGTTAAAATGATTAAAACCAGCTCTGCAACAGCTTTAATTCTTGTCCTGAGCCTGGCGGCCCTAAGCACAGCGGAGCCACTGCGCCGCAGATTCCTAGCCCGCCAGGTGGAAGCCCCAGCCAGTCCAGCACCCACGGGTTACCCGGAGGCAGGAGTCACGCCCAGTGTTCCCTTCGATCTGCCCAGCTCTACGGCTAAGCCTGAGAATACTTATCTGCCGCCAGATAACACCTACGGACCCCCGGATAACACCTATGGACCCCCAGACAATACCTATGGCCCACCGGACAACACCTATGGACCACCAGAGGCCGATTTTGTGCCTGTTCCAGAGCCAGAGCCTGAGGCACAGCCCGAGAATCCCATCGAGACCGATGATATCCCAGCCGCTGAGGATGAACCCGTAGATGGTGAGACTAAGCTGCAGCCCTCGGACGAGGACGCAGAGCTGGATGAGCCGCAGCTGGAGGTGACTGAGGATGGTACTGTTATTGTTTTGGCCACCAGTCTTGACCGGCCACAGCCCCCGGTTGAACAATCTGCCCGGTTTTACCAGCGATTCCCCCAAGGTCGTCGTCGCCAGCTGCCCGTTCCCCAGCGACTGATCCTTCGTCGCAGTTGGTAGACTTAAATAAATCTTTTTAATTAGTATGTAATGGGTACATAAAGAAGGCCTTCAAATTAAATTCATAATTCAAATTAAATGCAGCTCAAGAACTCTGCTGAAAGTTAAAAAGACACTTCCGGTTATCCCTGATTGCAGCCATTAAAACTTTTAAAAATGTCCCAATTTATTAACAAATATTTGGTGTTTATAAAATTTGTGCCACCGAAGTATACAAACCTTTTTATAACATCTATGAGTTACACCTGTTTTAGTCATCACAGCAATGGGCACGTAACTTTCGGGCCTGCCGTATAAGTCATCGGCCTCGGCGGTACTTTGGGCCCATTGATTGGGCAGTCCCCAAGGCCACCTTCAGTGGGTATTTATAGGCGCCACTGGGCCACGACATGCAGCAGTTCACTCTGGGACAGCAAAATGTTTGGGTATCTAACTAGTTCTCTGGTCACCGTCGCCCTTTGCGGGATTATTTGCCTGAATGGAAGTGAAGGCGCACAACTACGATTCCCGGGACCAGCCAGGGGTAGATCCTTGCCGTTAATTCTGCAGCGACAGGAGCAGGCGCCGTATCCACCAGCTGGCCTGGTGCCCGACCCACCATTCGAGCTGCCTACAGAGGAGGCCGCGGAGTTTCCGCAACCAGAGGAGACATATGGTCCTCCAGCGGATACCTATGGACCTCCACCAGTCGTAGAGGAGCCCGCTGATGTCTATGGACCTCCAGATCAGGTTTATGGACCTCCTGATCAGACCTATGGTCCACCAGATCAGACATACGGGCCCCCCGATCAGCCTGCCAACGATGACAATGCCAACAGCCAGCCCCAAAGCGCAGCTATCTTTGATTTGGCCAGTCTGCCGCTGCCTCCGCAGGCTCAGCATGTTTTACCACTGCTTAGTCGCTTCACTGCCTTCCGGCCGCAGCGTCCAGCTCTCTTGACACCCCCGCGCCGTCCCGCCAAGCTCACTGCTCGTCCTCAGCCCAAACCAGCCAAGATTGTGAACGTAATTAACAAGGGTAATGCTGTCTTCCAAGCGACGTCGCTGGGCTTGCCCTTTGTGGAGCGGCGCATTCCCTTCCGCCCGCAGCCATCTCGTTTGGTAGTGAATGCTCCTCTGCGTAGGCGCCCTGCCAGGCACTAGACCACACATCATTCACCACTCTGACACGGAGCAGAGTGACCCAATGTTACACATATACTGTAAATAAAGTTGTTGTTTATGTCTAATTTGCGAACAGAAATAAGTAGATAGGGAAAATTCAGAAAGCCAGCCGCTTCATCAGCAGGTACATGTGCTGATCGACCTCGAACCCGTGCAGGTTATTGGCATCTCCTTGGAGTCGCATCAGCAGGCCACCGAAGGAGACGTAGGCAGAAAGCCGGGATGCCTCGTTGTGCGCCTCGTCGCCCTCGATTCGGTAGATCTTGCCGTACATTACATACTCGAAGCTGTCCGCCCGCGTGCCTTCGTGCTCCATGGGATTGTACTCGCCACTGTCTGGACAGCCGTCCTCACGCAGCGTCGTGGCCAGCACCAGGCGGAACTTGTCGCCGAGCTCCATGGGATACAGCCACGAGTTGATGTCTAGGATGAGGTCCATTTTGAAAGACTCGGATTCACAGTGGAGGCGGGAAACTCGGTCGAACTTCTTGCCCTCCGGATCCATGTCCTTTACATTGAATATATCCTCGAAGAGTACGCCAGCCATGGTTAGCTACATCAAGTAATATTTGATGGTTACAATTCAGCGGAGCGCCCGGTTTTCCTTACTTACCTTGTGTCGGGTTTGGGCTTAATATGTACAAAGTCTTGTGTATGCTGAGGTAGCGCGGTTTTTCGTGAAACACCAAACTTATTAATAAGTTGTTTTAAAGCGTAAAATATTGACAAATTCGTCGTTAACTTGTGTTTTCCATTTGTTTAATTTCACTTGCGCGTGTTTTTAATGCAGTGTTGCCGTATCTCGCCAGCGGCTTTCGGGGCTGCCACATTTTTACAAAGGCAGTGTTGAAAAATGGTCGCTCTTAGCTAAAGTCGTGATTTACAATATTGTGTCATTTAAAATTATTTAGAAAATATACATTAAAATTATTTAATTGGCGACATACAAATTTGTAATATCACCTCGTATTATGACTTTTGTCTTATTAGATTACCATTTCTACAAAAATTTATTCAATCACGTTCTCACCTCATTTCGTGCCAAAAAAGAACTTGCGATGTGACCGTGCTGCAGTGCTCGCACATCTCTAAGATTAAGAACAACAACGAAAAAACTTATTTATGTTGCTTGATAAAATATAAACATTTGTCGAAACAGTAGAGCAACGTGATTTTCAGGATACTTCTCCGAAGACCCCGCAGGATGGAAAAACCATGGAAAACCTGGACGAACTGTTAGCTGGTAGAGTGCAAAAAGTATGTACATACAGCGAGGGGGCGTAGAAATTATAAACAAATGAGCCAAATACATTGCTGGGCGCAGAATGTGAGCAGCCAATTCAAGGTGTGTCCGATGCGGGGGTGACGAGTCTAATACCTGCGGATCGAAGGTCATAGCGTGTCCTGCGATGGCTGCGAGGGTAAGTCCGTGGCCAATTGGTTGTTTTTCGGTGATGGGTACGGCGGAGGAGGAGCTCCTGCCGAGTGCAAGTAGTATTTGCATCTGTTTGTATGTATAGATCGATGTTGATTAATTCGGTAGCGGTGCTGGTTTTAATTACTAACAAATCCCCTCAGCGGCGGTGGTGGTGTGACCCTCAAAACTGTAGACTCGTCAAGTTTTGTATGCGAAATACAAAAGACTTCAACGGCAGCAATCCCCCTGAACCCTTCAGCGAACCTCCACCCCGTGCAACCCATTACCTCCCCCCGCTTCTATTTAGCATTACAAAACTGCTGTTATGTATTCACTTCTTTATTTTCGCTTTTAGTGTGCGATTTTCGCTGGCGTTCGTGCTTTTTTCCCCGTTCTCTTTCAGTTTCAATTTCCAGCTCTGGATTCTAGCTTTAATTCGCTTTTTCAACAGTTTGGTTGGGCCGAGCCGAGGGTTTTGTGTGTTGTTTTCAAGTGAGCTGAGTTTCGGTTTTCCGCTTCTGCGGGTGCGGGTGCGGCTCTAATGAACCATTAACCCTGCGACAGGCCAGGGAGGGGGGTGGGCAACGCCGATCCGGAGGGTTCCCAATCTGTTTGCCAGATGTTCATCGCCGTCGCCGTCGTCGTCGTCGTCCAGGGTCATCGTCTCGCCGCCTTCTAGCTGCATTTTCATTTCCTTTGTGTGCTCGCTCGCTTTCATTGGAAACTCCGATTCCAGCGGGAACAGACCACTTCGTTGCCCGGCTAAATATATCGTATCTATAGCTTCTAGTCTCCGGTATCTCTGCCCGAGTGTTTGTGCGGTGTGTTTCTTATCGTACAGTCTGTCTGCTTATCAGTTATTGCCTTCCGTGGGATCTTATCAGCTGCTAGTCCCGTCCCACTCCAGCACAAACGAAAGATTGAGAAAACAAACTGGAAAAACGCAGCCAGCTTGCGTTCACTGGAAATGCCAAATGATAGCGTGATCAAATTCTAAGCAAAATCCAACAAGTTAGCTTCCTACACTGCAATTAAAACTGATCATGAAATAGATAAATAAATACTTTTAATTTCCACAAGTTCTGTGAAATCCTTGATAAAATTTGAAATTAAATAGCTATGATTCAAGTGTTGACAATATTAATCATTATAAATGTATGTATAACCCCACCTTCGATATAACAAAACTCTAAATTTAAATACCATTTTGGGGTATATTTTCTCCGTGCATATGTAGTCTCTTATCACTGTTGACACAGCTGGAGGCTCTGTTCTGTTTTCAACTTTTTCTTCTGCGTCTGTTTCGGCTTCACCTACTGTCACTACACATTTCTGTCTGTGTTTTTGATTGTCTCTCTGTGCGTCCGCTTCGCTCCGGAACGTGGCGGAGCATTGCGAGCGGAGTAAAATAACAGTTCTTAACTTTTTTGCAGCCCATCTAAACTAATCCAAACCAAAGGTGAATGGGAACTATCCTTTAAGTGTAGAAAAGCATGAACCAAAAACCAAAAAATTACGTAGAACATTAACCCTAAAAGTAAAGAACCAGCTGGTGCCGGTGTCCCCCAAGGAGAGGTCTTAAAAAAATAACAAAAACAATTACATCAAGTAATAAAAAATAAAAAAACGAACACGAAATGGTACGCAGTCGTCGCAGCTTGTCCAAGGAGGATGCCGTATCCCTGCTCACGGACAGTGGCATCTCGCTATCCTCACCTCCAGCGGCCAGGGATTCCTCACCTACGCCTATCACACCCACAGGCATAAAGAGGCGGAAGAGCAGCTTGGCCAGTCTGCGAGATGTGTGCACCGAGGATGATGAAGATGCTGCTGATCAGGATTCTAAGGACGCCGACTATGTGCAGCCACCACCGAAAAAGTCCCCACGCAAAGTCGAAACCGGAAAGCGAAAGCACCACATTTGCAGCCACTGCTCCAAAGAGTTTGGCGGCAAGACAGACTTGCAGCGCCACATACTCATCCATTCGGATGAACGGCCACACAAGTGCAAGGACTGCGGGAAAAGTTATCGCCAGGCGGTGAACCTTAAAAACCACATCACCACCGCCCACGAGCACCGAAAGCAATTCTCCTGCTCACAGTGTCCCAAGTCGTTTGCCCTTAAGGAGCGCCTGCGCTTGCACATGCGACTCCACTCCGGCGAGAAGCCGTATCCGTGCGCTCTGTGCGACAAGAAATTCGCCAGAGGAGGTCAGGTGAGTGAAGGCTTTTAAATGAAAACTTACAAATAATTGACACATAACCTAATAAATTTTCCTTTTCTTAACAGCTCCAGCAGCACATGGTGTCGCATCACAAGACCAGCATTCAGCAATTCAATTGTACGAAGTGCTCGGCTAGCTTTTCGACAAACGCCAACCTTCGGGTTCACATGCAACGCCACGAGCAGGGCATGGAACACCGATGCAAAATCTGTGAGAGCCAGTTTGCCAACGAACTTGCTCTCCGAGCACATATCAACCAGGAGCACCACAAACTGACGCAGGTCGAGTGCGAAATTTGTCACAAAACTATAGAGCCGGACGAAGATCTGGCCACGCACATGCAAAAGCATGCCGCAGTGAAGACGCATGTCTGCGAGGTGTGCAACTCGTACTTTACCCAGAAGAGTCAGTACAATGTCCACATGCGTATGCATACGGGCGAGCGGCCCTACCAGTGTCGGGTGAGTTGAAAAGGCAGTTATCCTATTCCTCAGAATATTTATAGAGCTTATATATATCCGGAACAGATCTGTCATCAGACCTTTGCCCACTCCAGCGTACTGAAGCTGCACATTCGCAAGCATACGGGCGAGAAACCCTTCCGCTGCCAGCTGTGCGAGGATGAGGTGGCCTTCTCCCAACTGGCGCATCTAAAGAACCACATGAAGAAGATACACAAGCAGCAGAAGCCGTACATGTGCGAGGGATGCCACGAGTTCTTCAAGGTCAAGGTGGAGCTGCAGGCGCATTCGGAGCAGTGTGCCAAGTGTCCCGCGGGCGGAGACGAGGCTACCGATAGCCAATCCGTGGATGCGGTGATCCTCTCCACGATGCGTTTCAATATCGCTGTGGTGCTGAAGAAGATTAGCTCTGCGCAGAAGCTACGCCAGTTGGGCTACGAGAAGCGTCTCATAGACAATGTGATCATTGCATCTTTAAAGCTGGCCCAACGGCCCACGCATGATGACGTCAAACTGACGCCACTTGCCAGGCTCCGTTTAAATGTGGAAGAGTTCCTCAAGTGGATTGTGCCGGCACCCACGATGAATAAATTTAGCGAGGAGCTGCTGTCCATCGACACCATTCTCGACAAGATTGCCACCATGTATATGAAACAGAAGTAGAAGTCAGAAAGTTGCTAGCCAACGGAAAATGCAATTGTGCCATAGAAGGAGGATTTGTAGAACTAGTTCTTGCCATTTAGCTTAGTTTTTAGTTCAACCCAAAATGTCGTAGAACGAAAACCGACCAAATAATTTATCCCAAAGATATTTACCTTGTAGTACTGATTCAAACTTAGTTCCAATTTCGCTGCTACCAAAAAGAAAGTTATTTTGAAAAATATATTTCTATTTAGTTTTTAAGGAGTATATAGATTTAAGCCCCTCTTTCGATGCAATAATTTATGTAATAATTATCTTAAAATCTGATCGTACTGATCCCTCATATATTTTATACATATAAGTTTTATTTTAGTCTTGCCAGAGCAGAAGATAACAGCTCAAGTACAATTCAATATTTTGTGGCCATGCAAATAACGAGTAAGCTTAATGCATTTAGTTCGCTTCGCTATTTGTCCTTCCCAACCTTTTAGGTTAACTTTAAAAAGTGTACAAGCAAATATATAAAGAATGCAAATCCAAAGTGTACAACCGAATAAATGAAATGCAAATCAAAATCAAAGCAAGTCAACTAAGTGAATAAATTAACAGTTGTTTTATAAGTATCGAAATCTAATTAAACCTTTTGATGATGCAAGTAAACTTTTGATATTTATTTATGTTTTTGCAATGAATTTTATCAATCAATTGGTGGCATTCGTTTCGCGCTCTTTGAGTCTCTGACCCTGAAGGCGGAAGGCTGTGCAGAAGAATCTCATGCGATGTCCGACTTGGACACTGCATTCCATATTTGAATCCAACCTAACAAAGGCTCATCGTGCCACACACACACACGATCACACACCCAGACACACCCAAGCGGGATGGCATCTAACCACATAAACAGTTAGGTACAAGTGTGCCCCATGGGTCCCTGCCCGATGGCCATAAATGGTCTGGGTTTGTGCACAAATTTATAAGCCACTTACATTAAGGCGGCAAATATTTTTTATGGCAAACAGCGAGCGCAGCGCATGCGCAGCTTTGGCATCCGCAGGCACCTGCCCGCTGCCACTGCCACCACCCGCCCCAGAGCAATTAATGAAATTTCCGCTGCGAATTTATTGACGCGACCGTTAGTGTCAACTCAGGCGACTCGAATGCTATGGGGGAGAATGGAAGGAGGCAATTTGTTTCACCTGAAGATGTATGTAAATTTTTATGCATCAAATATAGTTATGATTTTACGATAGGCACGTCTCTGGCTCTGGCCATTGCGTGTCACCTGAAGCCGCGGCTGCAATCTTCCCATACTCCATTCCCCTCGATCTTGATTCCAATCCCTTGGCCTGGGCAGCAGCGGCAGCAGCAGCTTAATGTCTACATTTGTTCTGGCCATTGCGTGTTCAGTGGCTGCCCTTTCTGCAATCTCAGCCAACTTCCCCGGCCACTGCCACGCTGCAACGCTGCAACGCTGCCACTTCCTCATCCTCATCCTCCGCTGCATGTGCAACTGCAAGTCAGACACTCCAGCTGCAGCTCCTTGAGCTCCGGCTTTGGCCACAGCATCTCCAGCAGCTGCTGCTGCCACGGCGCATTAGAACAAATTGCTCTTGTTACGATAGGAAGGATGGACATGCCTTTTGCCTTGTTTGGACCGATGGACAGAATGCCACTGCTGGTTAGAGCTCGAGCACACTACGGAGGAGTGGATATAAATGAAATGGTATTTAGGTTGGGGGTTATAAAAATATAAATTAAAAATAAAAGCAGCACAAATGAACCATAAATGTGCTGTTTTTTAGGACCCCAAAACTTTTGATCTTTGTTTATATATTTACTTACTTATTAAAATGTAACTTTTAAAGAGTACCTGCTCTTCATCTAGCCCTTGATGGAGACCATCTCCTTGTTTATTTTCCAAGTAAAATGCGCTGCGAATTCGTGAAACAAATAGTCAGAGACGTAAGTACGCATGTTTCGGCTGTTGGCCAGGGCTTGTTGGGGGCTTAGCCTCATCTGCATACGCGGATTTGGCCAGGGACAATGTTAATGATGAGAAAACAGAGGGGCTCCAAGCTCCTCCTCCGAGGATCGCATAGCATTTCCGTCTTCCCTTCGGGCCTCGGACTAGACTGGAACAAATTGATTTGACTTTGGCAGTGGCTCGGTTGGTCTCTCTGCCCATTTGCGTTAGCTTGTTTGGCATTATATAATGCATATATAATTCTTTTGTTGTCTGCTGCTAATTTGAAAATTTACGCTGGCATTGGGGTAATGTCAAGCAACTACTCCAACACACAACCCCAAACCTCAGACCAAGTTCAAGTTGAGTTGTCCGCCGACATCTAATTTGTGGTGCCCAACGAAGACGAAATTGCAGTAGCCCACGCCATCTAGCCAAGTGGTTTCAGGTCTAGAAATCCATAATTGCCTGGGAATGGCCAAGTGGTACCAATTCTGCAGAGCATTGGAAATATATAGATTACGAAAGGGAATTGTTTGCATACACTGATGAGGGGTGAAGAGCTTAATAAGTTCTAAGCTTTGATTGCAGTCAAAAAGAAATACAAACTGAAAGAGTTTGAACTCATATTTATAATAAGTACATATCTCTAACCTTTTTTGTAATATATATTTCTTTTAGATGGCATCCCAGTGACCTTTAACTGTGCAGCCTTGACCGTGGCTTTTTTTTCGGATCCAAGCCATTGGGGTCATTCAACTTTGAGGCGGTCGGGGCGTTTTAGGAGGCAAAGTCAAAGTCAAGTCAAAAGTCATAAAAGATATGCAAGCCTGTGCAGTCTGACTGCCTCAACAAATGTATGGTGTACAGATGGTTTTGTGTATAGCAGCAGCTCATGCTCTGGGTTTGGGAATGCCTTTAACTTTTGCTTTGGCTTTGGGTTTGGGTTCGGGTATGGTTTTATGGGCATGGGGATGTGCGTTGCCTTGGTAATCCTTGGCCATGTCTGCGCTGCCCTTTTTGCAACAGCAACTCAGCAAAAGGAAACAGCCAAACAGCAAACAGGAACAACAATTACAAATGAACGACTTCTTTGTTCTGTCAGCGAGGCCAGCAGCAGCTTAGCTCCAGCACCAGTTGTTGGCAATAGCACCAGGCTGGTGATCTCAGGGCACAGGCCCAGCTCCAACTGCGGCCTGGGTTTTGCGGTAGCAGCCCAAAAGAGGGGGCGTCGTCGGAGTCGTCTCCATCTCTCCATCTGTGATGCCAGCAGCTGCTACGCATAAAGCATACCCCAAGCAGTGAGAGAAATATAAAGGAGAAAGGATATTTGCACAACTTTTTTCATTTTTCTATGAATATAAATGCAGCTTGGGTATATGAATTTAAGCTGAATAAACTGGGCTAAAGGATATCCTGCTTCTTGAACTTTTCCTTACCAATTTCTATACCATCTTTCAATATATTTCTCTTAGTGCACCTGCGGATGCTGATCTTTTCGGGGCGTTGTTGCTGGCCCAAAACAAATATGAAAAGCTGGAGTCCAGGCTGCGTCCCTGTCTCTGTTTCTGTCTAGGAGTCTCAGTCTCAGTCTCAGTCTCAGTCTGAGTCTGAGGAGTCAGAAATGTGCAACGTTATCATAACTAAGTGCATGTGGATGCGTGTGCTTGTGATTCCCCCGAAACGAAACGAAACCAAACGAAACCAAAAGAAACGAAACCGTCTGCATATGCATAATTCATGCTATTGAACCTTCTGCGGTTATGACTGGACATGGACATGGGGCCCTGGACTTGAACCTAGCCGAGGATGCAGGAGAGGATCCGAGGGGGCAGCAGCCGGAGCATGGGGCAAGGGGGGAAATGGAGACCGCAGCCAGGCAACTAGAAAAATTATAATTTCACAAGTCATAATAGGATTTGCAATTCAAATGCGAAAAGGCAACGCAGACACTGAACGCGGACTCAAGTCGACTCGAGTTGGGTTTCTTTTCAGATTGTTCTCGTTGTTGTTGTTGTTGTTGTTGCCGTTTCCTTTTTGTGAAAATTTCTGTGGAAGGAGCGAACAACAATAAGAGGCTTCTCGGCCAGGGCCCCAGACTTATGGCCAAGGCTCTGGCCCCGGCCAATATGTCAAAAATATTAAGAGACATGGCCAATGGGCTAGGGAACAGCATCGGATTGGGAATCGGCAAAGGAATCGCGGGTTCGGGGCCTGGGCTGTGGCTGTGGCTATCGGTTGGGGATCATGCATAAATATGCAAACGATAAGAGCTCTCCTCTATAAAGTTGTAAAATTGACAAGCGCTGCAATGCCAAACTCTCAAATAAAGCAATAAAATGGGTCTTAAACATCGCCGGCGAGGGACCGGGACGCTGGATGCTGGACACTGGGCTCACTCGGTAGCCGTGGACCAAATGCAAAAATTAGAAATGAAAGCCAGCGGGTTGCTGCATCAGCTCCACCTCCACCTCCACCTCTACCTCAACCACCACCATGCTTGTCCAGAATTTATGCCATTCTGGTTGGGACTAGGTAGATCCGATGGAGAGATGAGCACGGAAGCATCATCGTTTGTCACTGGCGCATGCAAAGGCTCAATTCATGAGTCCGCATCGACAGCGAGGAGGAAGTGCGCCTGGAGTGACAGCAGGCAGCGCATAAAGATAACAAATGGCATTGCAGTGGGTTGCATCGTAATCATGTCAAGATGCGGCCCAGAAGAGGTGGAAGCCGATGGTAGCCAGGCACAACTTACGACTCACTTAGGGCTTCCTGCGTTTTGTGCGAAATCGGACCCAAGGCCTCTCTGTGTTCCCAGGAAGTCGGACGGTAGATAAGCCCCATATAAATTAGGAGAATTTCTGGAATTTGGGTTGCTAAAAACAAAAGACTTAGGCAACGAACTTGACAGTTTTTCTAGCTAAGCACGCAAGTGGAGCGGCCAGATTTGATTAGGGCCTAAGCTCAGGCCATACTCAGCAGCGGCGTCATAAATACTTAATGATATTGTCAGCTCCGCGGCCAGCGACCATACATACAGGCCCCCTGATCTTGGCTTTGGCCGGGCTTATTCCCCGGCTGTGGCTTCAATTTAAATCAAATGTGCGCAACGATGCCGTCGTCGCCACGAGGCTTGCTTTTGGTTTTGGCTTTGGCTTTGGCCCGGACTGGCCCTGGCCCTGTCCCTGGCCTTTTTATTTTTAGCATAAGCATATGATCGACACTCGCGGGGACGAGAGTGTGTAGTGTGTAGTGTGTAGTGTGTGTATGCGCTATTTTTAGTGGTGCATTTAAGTGGCGACCGCATTCGGTCGGCTCAGTTCGGTTTGGTTTGGTTCGGTTCGGTTCGGGCCATGGCCTGAACTCTCTAGCCAAATGTGTCCCGCTGTGAATTATGTGTCTACATAAATTACCCGGCCAGGAATTAATCATTTTTTATGCAGGACTGCGGCGGAGCCAGGCTAGAAGCTGGCCGTGGTTACTTCACTCTTTTTTTGTTTCGCTGCCTGCCCATTAGGTTTAGGCTTTCTGGTCGTCCGGACCGATGTGGATGTGGATCTGGCTCTGAGTGCCTTAAGGGGCACTTGGAGTCGCTCTGAATGTTTGTCTCTGTCCCGGGGATTGGAGTTGAAATAGCCCAGGATGCTCTTTTGGCGCCTG